AAGTTTGACTACCAGAAATGGAAAGACCTGACCAACAGTCCACAGTGACTTGGGCAACCCAATAATACACGTTACAGAACTACAGATAGATAGAATGACTAAAAACGCAGCATTTTCAAGGTGCAGCTGAACTGCATCGATGATTCACAGCCAACCATATGTCCTATTTACAGACTAAAGTTTACTGCAGAGGTGAGCAGTACAGCCATGCACTAAACTTAGTTAAAACAGTAGCCATAACTTCTTATCTTAACTTTGGCCTCCTACAAGTGTCCACACAAAGATATGACATTTGATTACTGGTAAAAGACTTCAAAGTCAACCACTGCATTTTAAATTTCAAGAGAGAACGAAAAACAGACTAAAGCGTCAGAGCCCCAACCACCTTGCTAGAGAACTGTACAGACAGCACCAAGATCTGCTTGAAAGAGATGTTGCACTGTGCGAAAAACTTAGGCCAGAACCCTAGACAAGGAAGCCAGAGAAGGCAAATGTAGTCCTAATGGTACCAGAGATCACTTCAAAAGATGCCCAGACAGAGACACAACAGAGAACCCTGGCTCTTGCTATGCTTGATGAGAAGTATCCCAACCCCACTGGGACTCAGGTTTTCACCGATGGCTCTGCTACAGATGCAGTGAGAAAGGGGTGCTGTGGAATATACATTAAACCCCCTAGGAGTTGAGCAGAAACTCTCTCTATACCAGCAGGTGACATCTGCACTAACTTCAGAGCTGAGGCAACTGCCCTCCTTTCTGCAGTCCAACATCTCATCAATCAAGAACACAGAGGGAACAACATTGTTATGCTTAGTGACTCATTGTCTGTTCTCCAAGCACTATCCAGCAAAAAAACCAGACAAACTAATTGCAGATCTAAGGATCAACATTGGCTTACTCTCCAAGGAAGCAGAACTGGTCTTGCAGTGGATACCAGCCCACTGTGGTATTCAAGGAAATGAGAGACCAGATGAGTTGGCAAAAGCTGGGAGTTTAATCTTCCACAACCTCATCCACCACATAGCTACAAGGAAACCAAAACAACGCTAAAGCAGTCTTTCAAGCGGGAGTGGAGAAGGCAGAATGGAGATTACAGACGAGACATTGACAGCATAAACAAACAACAGGAAAGAACAAACATCAATTTTTAGACTTCGGACAGGACACTGTGGTCTTCGAGCACACCTGTACAAGACAGGCATAAAAGAATGTGCTGCCTGTGATTGGGGAGCAGAAAGACAAACCCCTGAGCGCAAACTACAGTAATGCCCTAACCTCTCCCAGCAAAGACTGGATTTGGCCCAAGGGAGCCACATTGCAAGAGAAGCTATGGGGGACCAGTGGCGACCTTAAACGCACAATCCTATTTGTGACCCAGATGGGACTCAATGTATAGCATGACTGATGTCGAACACAAAAGAAGTTTACTGGTAGCCAGGTAATAGCAGAAAGTTCAATATAAAGAGTGAGCAGTATAATCATCCCCTAAATTTACTAGTTTGCTAAGCCAAAGCAGTAGCAATGACTTCCTTGTATCATAATTTTGGTTCATAAAAAGATAAGGCTGGTTTTTTTCTCTCACTAAGCTATCATCCTGCATTATTGGTTAATTAACTCTTTCGGTATCAAGCAATTGTTCTTTAACTCCTATTCCAAGAACTTGAGCTCATGAGCATTAAACACTTAGGTTTGAAGCAGTTCAATACAGGGACTATGGAACAGAAGTGGTTAAATTAAATCATTCTTCTTTTTTCACCGGCTGTAGGCCTCAGTGGAAAGTCTTGGTTGTTCATCCATTTGAACTGAGGCGTTGTGCCAGGGCCTGAGTTTTTTATGTGCATATGTTTTACTGGCTTATTTGTGTGCAGTTGGTTGTTACTTGCCGCTCAGGCAGATGCATTCCGACGTCAGAGGAAGTCCCTAATTAGTTTACTCCTACAATATTCTTGCTAGGAAGGCAGTAGGGCTATTCTTATCGTCCCCCACAATAGGGCCCCAGAATCCACATGGAGAAAATTAATAATTCAGATACAAAAGGTTAATAAAACATCTAAGATAAATATCATTTTATAGAATAACTAAGAAATGTATGGAGAGTTGTTTGGTACCAAAAGTGTTAAAAGAGACCAGAAATGATCAACGTAATTAACTATCAAACCATACATAACAATTCTAAGGTACCAAGATTAAATGTCTACACATGAATAATTTCTGTCAAATATCTTGATGAAATCAAACACACTACAAAACAAGTAAACAATAAAACAACATAGCAGAAACCGATCTGAAATGATGACAAAGATTTAGCACCAACAAAATACCCAATCAACAAGGTACAAACACTTGAGCTGCCAACACTGTGAATAAAATCAATGCCTGCACGCAATTCATCTTTATAGTCTATACCAGGGCTATTCAAATGCAGGCCCGCGGGTCCAATCTGTCCCGCAGAGGTCTAGATCACTTGGTGTGGTGCCATTCTGGCCCTTGATGATCCCTATTTTGGCCCCTGAGTAAACAGCTGACTAGCCCTGGTATACACTAGTATGTTACTTCGTTGAGAGTACAAAACTGTAAGAAAAAAACAATTTCGATACCAGCAAGAAAAAATTTTGCCTTCAGTGTTTTTTTTTTCTTCAAGTTAACAAAATTTAACAACTGACTGCAAAGAGCAAAAAAAAAAAGTAAACAAATAAGAAAGAAAGAAAGTAAGTCAGCTAAGTAGTTAAAAAAACCAAAAGTATTACGCAACCAGAGGAACAATTTAATTCCGTCTAAATTAAAAAACAATCTACATTTTTATATTTTTTTCACTAACACTACTCTCCTGTATAGAAAAAACTTATATCCAAAATTGAAATAAAACACTGCCAATTAACAATTTCAGTTGCAAAGGGTGAGAAACTTGAAAACTTGATGGCACAAAACAGATCTAAAGTAGTTTATGTTGGAACGTAAGTGTGTTAAACATTTAACATTTCCAACTGCTGATATCAGTGACAAACAGAAGGAAAAGCAATCCAAATGTGCTGACGCATTTAAAAAATAATTAAGAAATATGGCTATAAATAATACAAACAATAACATCTTCTTCTTGTTAATGTTTACCAGCTGTAAACTGGTGGAAAGTTCTGGTTTTGTCCATTTCTGAACTTAGATCTTGTTTAAGAACTTGAGTTTTGCATGCACATCTGTTTTACAGATTTGGCTTATTTGTATGCAGACTGCTAGCTACTCACCTCAGGCAAATGCCCTCTGACTTTGAAATAAATTCCTTTAATTAGTCGCCTCGCATGACAATGCCTGTCAGGAAGTAACCTGCTGTCTTATGGAAACATGGTATAAAATCATGCCAGCAGAACAGTCATAAGAAAGCTAATATAACATTATGTACAGAAGAATCTGCCTATTTAGCATTGCACTGACATCGCAGTGGGTGCTGCTGTGGTGTAGCTGCTAGCCTGCGGATCGAAAGGTCGTGGGTTCAGGTCTTGACAAAGCCAAACTTTTTTTTTCTCTCCAAAATTGACCTTGGCTCCCAGCTTGATCCAATCATAAATGGGTATCAATTAGTCCTGGGAAGTAAAGGCGACAGTAGTGAGTGTCAATTGGTCTATAAAATATAGGTCTAGCCCTATATGCCAAATGCATGCAGAATGGTCCTTTACTTTACTTACTGACACGCAGTGTAGCAGAAATAAAGGAATAAATACGCTTATTATGACAACAACGCGTAAAATATGTATATTTGTATTTATCACTTTTTAGGGCAGTGTAGGATAGGGGTATTTAGCCTGAGGATTTAAGGCCGCATGACTAGTGCAGTTGCCATAGATTATGATTTTATTTGTTTCACTGACATAAGAAAATCCATCTCCCATATGAGAGGCCAGTATTCTTAACTGCTCAACCAGCCACTTCTCACTGACTGGTGTGAACTAAATATTTATAAGTCTGCAGTTCCTAATTTATAAACCTTTAAAATTTATACATATATATATATATATATTTTTTTTTACCCACACCCTGTAGATTTGGAAATAATGTTTGTTATTCTCAGATTCTGGAATAAGCACCAATGCACAACATATATATTGTTTTAAAAAAATATTTATCCCAATGGCACTTTACTACAAAAGTGCTTCCAGGGTGACTGAAAATTTTTAACAACACAAATCTCATGATGCAGTAAGCAATGATTTAAAAAAACTTGTCAGACTTATGAAACACCCGACATTTTTTAAGTATTTGACCCTTGTAATGAATTAAACTATAAATGTCTACCTATTCTTGTCTTCTGTTACAGATTTCAATTTTAAAAGCCCCACACAGAAATTTCTACAAGCTAAAATTCCACAGTAACAACATCCCTAAAAAGTCTTCAACTTGTACTGTAAAATACTGGAAGACTCCAAATAATTTAGAAAACAAGCCTACATATACAAAATAAAAACAATGAAATTAAACTAAAGTATAAACAGCAAAACAAAACGTTCAACAAATAAAAGTAAAAATTATACAACATATTTAATTGAGTCAAGCACTTTCAATTTAAAAGCATTGAAATTTAATTATTTAAAAACAATGTCTTCAACATGATGGATAATGTTTATATCTGACTTAGAGCAACCTTATAAATAACTAAACTTTGAACAATGTAATAATACCCTACCAATCAAAAATCCTTAAAAACATGTTTAAACGTCAAAATCGAAACAAAAGGATCACTACAAACTCTACCAAGTTGATGTCTTACAAATATATAACCAATGCCAAATACAATATATGAAATGCAGTTTCTACATTCTCAAGTACACTTACATTAGCGTAAGCTTTTATAATAAGCTAAGAAATAATCGCAGAAGTCTTTTTCACTTTCCACTGTAAGATTTTCAAATGCTGGGCTGGTTATTGTGAAAAAGTAAACCTAAAATAATAAAGAGTTCTTGCTTTCTTTTGTTTGAAAAAAAAAAAAATAATATACAAATGTCTTTAGTTGTCTCAAGCAATGGTGCTGGCACGTGGTTTTCCCCGGCCTATGCCTCCATAAAACCCCTTGGAACTATCAGGGCCTTTGGGCTGACGCATCACATTTGTCATGTCCAGCATTCTTGGTATTGATCCCGCCATGAGAGTACCGTCTGGATTGCGTCTTCCCAAAAGAGGGCTGCCCAGGGGACTGCCGCCTATCTTTTCTTGGGCAACTCTAAGGCGCCTCTGCACCCATGGGCTTGACGGAGTGCTGTCTCCACCAGATGAATCTATACCTCGTCGCATTGTTTCTGGACTACTCCGAGGACTGAGACCTGTTGATTCTGCTAATGGTGATTTCCCATGACCTTTGCGTCGGTTGTGAGGACTTCCAGAAGGACTGGTATGACCTCTAGAGGGTGTCAAATTTGGGCTCAGGTGATCACCACTGCGGTATTTATTGGTTGGTGAGATGGTGGCCTTTGATGGAGAATCACCTTCAGACCCACTGCTGTAACATGAAGAGTCGCGTGTTAATTCATCAACACGGGTCTTTTTCTTACGGCCACCTCGTCTGCGTCTCTTTTTGTCATCAGCTGAACCTTCTTCAGCTGAGATGTCATCACCATTGCCATCATTTTTCTTTTTCTCCTTCTTGTCTTTTTTATCTTTGTCGTCTTTCTTTTTCGGAACCATAAGGGGAACAACTCGCATACCTTTTCTCCAATCCTCATTGTTGGTGAGAATTTCACAAGCTTTTTGTGCCTGTTCATAATTTTCAAAGGCAACAACAGCACACATTGAAGACCCTAGTTCTGGATGTTTGCATGCAAATTTGTGTAGATCACTTGGAATAGAACACCCGGGACGCAAAATTCTAAAATTACTCACAGAACCACACTTTGAGAATATTTCTGCCATATTTTCCATAGTTGGATTTTCAAGTGGTAAATTCAGGGCAACCACAGTTCTTGATGGAACAGTTTCATCATAATCTGGTAATGGGTCCTTTCGTCGCACTTTTGTACATTCATCGTTTAGTTCTAGTTTTTCAGAGGCTTTCAGGCAATAGGCAACAACACGATAATCTCTAGTCAGTGCTTTCATCTTCTTAAAAGAGGTTATCAACTTGAGGCTCACAAAGCCGAAACGATTTCTTCGCACATGCTTAAGTAAAAACGCATCCTTCAAGATACTTTCATCAGAAAAGTAATACTCAACTAAGGAAATGATTTTCTGCTGTAGTTCCTCGTCTGGTGAATCAATCAAGGAGTCTACATCTAAAACCATGTCTGGAATGCTGCTGTTGTTGCCGGAATGATCCCCATCGCCTTCATCTGAATAGTCCTGGTGTCCACCGCCCTCTTCTTCGCTTACACAAAAGCTGGAATCGTGGTTATTACCATTTCCTTTCAATTTGTCCACTCGAACCGGAGGGGCAACAATAACAACTGGAGTTTCCAACGCTGGTGTTGTTGAACCTTCGTCGCCGTTTCCCCCGAGAGATGTCTGGCCTAACTGATGCGAGACATCCTCCACGACCGTGCTCACCAGGCACTCGCCTGGCTCAATCACAACAGGCACGGTGACTCCCGTATTATCACTCATTGTTGCTATTTAACACAGTCGCTGAGCAGTTGCTTCTCTTCACGAAAGAAAATACTGCTACTTACAGCGACCAATAAACAAAACAGATGTTTACTGAAGTCTGCCAACCTGTCAGCGTCGTGGAGGCCACACTCAGCGGCGTAGGTCTCTGTCCTTAGTCTGGTGGAGTTTTCGTCAGTTGCGACGTCATAACCGGTAGTAGTTTTATTTACAAACGTCTTCGCACGTGTTTTCAGTTTTTGTTTTTACAAAATAATAATCATCATCATCCTATTGTGCCATTTATATGTCACAGAGCTCGCAGTCTATTCTTCAGTAGGGATAAATAACAGGAGGATGCTCAGACAAAAGAATTCATAATAGTTAATACCTTCATCAGGACCAAGGCACAGACCTGGACGAGCAGGAAAGGAAAACAAGAAACTGACAGAGCCATTTAATATGACACCATCATCTTCATCATAAGGTGCCTTGCCAACTGGCGTGGGCGATCATGCCTCTCCACAATATGGCACACAAACCCAATTTAAGCCAACATTTGTTGGCACAAGAAACAAAGTTACAATTATAACTCAAAGCTTCTTCTTCAGGAGGAGCTGTCTGAAGGTGGCGTGTTTTTTTTTTTTAACAAAACAATTACTTCTATAGTGTGCAGTTTTTATCACGGATAAACCAGTCAAGCTGAAAAACAGTTACTCGCGGCAGAGATGTGGTTTCTAAGAAGAATGCAGAGAATATATCATGGAAGGATAGAAAAAACAAACGAAGCAGTCCTTATCGAGACGATGAAAGTCGTAAACTTATTAGAACAACTAGACGAATACAGTCAATATTTATTTGACATATTATGAGATAAAATGAATTCGAGAACTTGCTAACAACTGGCAAGATTGATAAAAAGAGCGCGAGAAGAATGCAAAATGATAAATAGTATAAATATATGGAATACCTGGCCAGAGGGATTGAGGCGAGACAAAAAACATTGAACCAATCTGTGTTTCTTGTAATCGTGTGAGATGGCGAAAAACGACAATCTCTGCTTACTGTCACATGGCGCTTTTCTTTTCTTCTTTGCTCACCGGCTGTAAGCTCCAGCGGAAAGTCCTGGCTGTTCGCCTATTTGGACTTAAACTTTACGCCAGGGCCTGAGTTTTGCGTGTTCACCCGTTTTACTCTCTTATTTGTATGCTTTTGGCTGTTCCTTGCCGCTCGGGCAGATGCACTCTGACTTCGAAGGAAGTCTCCAGTTAGTCGACTCCTTCGACATGCTTGCTAGGAAGCAGTGGGTCTATTCTTGTTTTCCCCCACAATGGGACCATGGAACCCACGCGGGGAACATGCTGATGATGATCCAACCCCGCACATATGGCTTCTCTTATCAGTGTTTTTCTTAAGAGGTACTCTTGGATATCATCGTCTCATGAATACTTTTTTTTACGTGAGTACCTGCCTGGTGTTCTCTGATCGCAACTTCTCGTGTATACTGTTGAAAAATAATCATTCATTTCTGAAATATATAAACACAAGAGAAAACTATTGATTGAAAGCTCAACAATACGGAAGACGTGTAAGAATATTCTTCTCCTTTCTCTCCTTTAAGCTTTAAAATTATTGTTTTGTGTTTTGGTTTTAGATTCTGAAAATAACATTAAAATTAGAAGTGAAAATGCGCAGTTTATTTCTAAATCTATCTAATTTAGAATTAAATTTTTTTTAAAGCTTTTAAAAGCTGCTGGTGTCATTGGCAGTGTAACTCATCATCATCATGTAGCAGGTCCTTTGCAGAACGTCGCTCTCATCACATTCTGCCTGTAAGAAACTCGGTCTCTTGCCAGTTCTCCCGCCTCGTGAACTTTCACACTCAAGGAGTCACTTATATCCTGTGCCCATCTTCGAGTCGGTCGGCCCCTGCCCCTCCTTCCTAGTACCATGCCTTCTGCTATAATTTTTTCCAATCCGTCGTGGCGCTTGATATGACCAAAATATTTCAGTTTTCGAGAAAAGATGCTGTTTATTAGCCAATCTTCCTTGATGTTCAGATCTTTTAAGATTTCAATATTTCTCATCTTCTTTGTCCAAGATATTCTGAGAATCTTTCTATAGCATTTCAGCTCAAAAGCCCCTATTCTCTTTCTTAAGGACTGAGAGATAGTCCACGACTTACATCCATATGTAGCCACGGGGAAGATGCATGCTCTCAAAATTCTAATTTTTATCTCCTTGCTGGTGCTTAACCATAGACTTTTAAGGCTGTTCAATCTTTGCACTGCTATGGCCATCCTCCTTTTAATTTATATCGAACAGTCTCCATTGTTGTTTATTATAGAGCCTAGATATTCAAAGTTTGTGACATTTTAAATTTCTTCATCATTTATTGTTATTTTTGGGTGACAGCCAGTTTTATCTGTGGACATTATTTTCGTTTTCTTTAAATTCAAGAACAAATTTTGATTTTTACTGTGCTTTTGGGTGGACAATATTAAATTTTCTATTCCATTTACGCTGTTCGAAAGCAGGACTGTGTCGTCTGCGTAGCGGAGTTCCGGAATAGGGTTGCCACCAATTTTGAGCGGATCATAACTGTCACAAGTCTGGTCATTTTTGACATTTCTCATTATATTTTCTGCGTATATGTTGAATAGGTATGGTGAGAGAATGCACCCCTGCCTCACCCCCTTTTGCAATTCGAACCAATCAGATGTTTCACCAGCTGCTCTGACGGCTGCTTGTTGTTCATGATAGAGATTTTCAATTAAATGCACTAAATGCGCTGGAAACCCCATACTTTTCATAATAGTCCACAGTTGGTGGTGCTTGACACAATCAAATGCCTTGCTATAATCAATAAAACAACAATGAAGATCTTCATTGTATTCTTCAAAAATTATTCTCATATTAATTATGTGATCCCTAGTTCCTCTACCATGTCTGAAACCCGCTTGTGCTTCATCAAGTTCATATTGTAATTTCTTTTCAATCCTTTTCATGATAATTCGTAAGAGGATTTTGCTAGCATGACTCATTAATGCGATGGTACGGTAGTTAGAGTATAGTTTTTGATTTCCTTTCTTTGGGAGAGGGATATAGACTGTTCTTTTCCACGCTTTAGGCCAAATGCCACTGTTCCAGATCTTCGAGCATAGTGCATGGTAGATTCGGACGCTGGCCTCTCCTCCTGCTTGAATTAGTTCTGCTGGTATTTCGTCGCAACCTGGTGACTTTCCTTTCTTCAGGCTGTGTATTGCTGATCGTACCTCATCCAGTTAAGGCTCTGGTTCTTTTTCATAACTTTCACAAGTCGTTTTTGAAATACCTGTCACATCCTCATACATTTCTCTACAGTATTCTTTGGTTTCCGTTAATATGTTACCGTTTTTATCACTTATTACATGTAAAGAAGGCCTGAATTCGCATTTCAATGTTTTAATTTCTTGAAACATGTCTCTGTCTCTTCCTTGCATCTGGAGTTGTTCAATTCTATTACAGGTATTTATAATAAACTGTTGTTTTTTTATCTCCTCTTATAGCTCTTCTGATTTCTTTCGTGTAGTTCCTATATGCATGGCTATTTTTTTTTTTTCTGTGCCTACTTGCTTTAGATTTCTTCTTTCTTCTATCAGCTTGAAAATTTTTTATGTAATGTAAGTCTGTTTCTTGTGTGGTTATTTGGGAATCATGTTCTGAGCTGTTGTGATGATGATGTTTCTTGTTTCATCAGCCAACTCATCAGGTGTCATATCCTCCTGCACTGCCATTAGTGCCTCAAATTTGTTTTCAACCTCAATGCTATAATCATTTGGCAAATGACTCAAACCAAAACGTATTGGCTTAGCCCCTTTCAACACTTTTTTGAGTTTTATTTTAAACTCTGCAACAAGAAGTTTGTGATCATACTTTCTGTCCATACTTGCTTTAAATTTCAGTGTAACAATGTATATGTTTTGTATCGTATTGTTGGACAAATAACAGATAATTGTTCCGCTGCTTTGTGCTTTCCTTTTTTATAAAATGTCTGTTTTTAAAAAACGAGAACGAGGCTAGGAAAAAAATGCTATGAAACCGCAATGGCAGACGTAAAAATTTCCGATACGACGACTTTTGTTGGTGGAGAGAAACTCGACGCTGATATAAAGGACAGTGAAGCTACCGGCATTGGTATTAATAATAAGATATCCAATTCCGGGGATGTAACGAACGGTCAAAATAAAATAGGTGATACAAACTGCGAGCGATTAAATGTTGACGACGTGAGTATTTCGATTATTTTGGAGACTGACGAGTCTGAGTCTCAGACAAATAATAAAAAAATGGAAACCCAGTCGCATTGTTCTGAAGAATATCAAAACGAAAATATCGTTACAAATGTTGATATTAGTAATAACTTCTTCATTCAGGGAGATGTAGCGGAGAGTCAAAATAAAACAGAGAATGCAAACGATGTGCGTTTAACTGTTGTTGACATTGTGAGTTCGAAGAAGATTATTGTAGAAGAGACAACAGAAGAAGACAAAGACACAGCACAAGAAATGGAAACCCAGTCCTCTTGCTTTGAAACTTATGAACAAAGCGAAAATATAGTTGCTAATTTTCAGAGTGCTCCAGCACTTCTTACTGAAGAATGTGAGGACAGATTAGATCAGTCTAGTAATGCAGACAGTTATGAAACCGAGGCAGTCAGAGAGATACATGAATGTTTGTCTAAAAAAGCAGAAGCTCAGGAACCTGAAGCATACCAAACTGTAGAGATAGATAAAGGTCCACATGAAAGTGCAAAACATGAATCACGCTTTATGGGACCGATAGATGACGGTCAGTATGAAACTGCTAATGTTGAAACACATTTAATTGAAGAAATTAAGGAGACATATAAAACCCAGTCTGAAAGTGCAAAAGCTGAAATGGACTACACTGAAACAACTGGAGAGATAGATGAGGGCCAGTACAAAAGTACTGAATCTAAATCAGACCAAACTGAAAAATTTGAGGTAAATAATGTATTTCAAAGTAATGAAATTCATCTCACTGAAATAAGTGATGATCAGTCTTTTATTTCTGAAGTTCATGAAATTGAGGCCAGATTTCACAATGACAGTTATCAGATTCACAAATCTGAAGAGGTAGAAAATCACCCTGAAAATGCTAAAACTCATGAAACCAAAGACTATAATTTAGTGGAAGACCTGTCTGAAAGTACTGTAATTCATCAGACAGATCAATCCAAAGAAGTAGATGATCAGTCTCATAGTGTTGAAACTCATGACACTGAAGAATCTGAAGTGTTGGAAGATGAGCCTGAACATTCTGGAACTCATCAAATAGAAGAGTCTGAAGAGGTATCACACCAGCCTGAAAGTGCTGAAACTTACCAAACTGAAGAACTGGAGAAGGTGGAATGTCAGCCTGAAAGTATTGAAGCTCATCAGACTGAAGAATTTGAAGCAATGGAAGGGGCAGAAATGTATCAAGCCGAACCATATGCAGCAGTAAAAGATGAGTCTGAAACGCATCAAACTGAAGAATCTGAAATGCTGGAAGGCCAGTCTGAAAGTGCTGAAACTCAGCAGATGAAAGAATTGGAATGCCAACAAAAAGCTGATAAAATTCAGCTAGTTGAAGAAGCTGAAGCAGTAGGAGACCATCATGAAAGCACTAAAGAATCTGAAGCAGTGATAGAAAGTCATTCTGAAAGTGCTGAAACACATCAAGTAGAAGAATCTAAAACGATGCAAGGCCTGTCTGAGAGCACTAAAACTCAGATCAGAGAATTGGGAGCTGTGGAAAACCAACCGGAAGGTGGTGAAATTAATCTGGTTAAGGAATGTGATGCAGTGGGAGACCGACTTTTAAGTGAAACTCATGAAGCTGAAGGGATGCAAGATGGACCTGAATGTTCTGAAACTCATCAAATAGAAGATTTATCAGGCCAGCCTGAAAGTGCTGAAACTCTACAAACTGAAGAACCGGAAAAGGTGGAATGTCAACCTGGAAGTATTGAAACTCATCAGACTGAAGAATTTGAAGTGATAAGGGCAAAAATTAATCTAGCTGACCAATTAGAAGCAGTAAAATATGAGCTTATAAATGCTGAAACTAATGAAATTGAAGAATCTGAAATGATGGACGACCTATCTCAAAGCGCTGAATCTCAGCAGATCATAGAATTTGAAGCAGTGGAATGCCAACAAAAAATTGATGAAATTCCTCTAAATAAAGAATCTGTATCAGTGGAAGACCTGTTTGAAAGTGCTGAAACTCATAAAGCTGAAGAATCTGAAACTGTGGAAGACCAGTCTGAAAGTGCTGAAACTCATAAAGCTGAAAAATCTGAAACAGTGAAAGACCAGTCTGAAAGTGCTGAAACTCATAAAGCTGTAGAATCTGAAACAGTAGAAGACCAGTCTGAAAGTGCTGAAACTCATAAAGCTGTAGAATCTGAAACAATGGAAGACCAGTCTGAAAGTGCTGAAACTCATAAAGCTGTAAAAACTGAAACAGTGGAAGACCAGTCTGAAAGTGCTGAAACTCATAAAGCTGAAAAATCTGAAACAATGGAAGACCAGTCTGAAAGTGCTGAAACTCATAAAGCTGTAGAATCTGAAACAGTAGAAGACCAGTCTGAAAGTGCTGAAACTCATAAAGCTGAAGAATCTGAAACAATGGAAGGCCAGTCTGAAAGTGCTGAAACTCATAAAGCTGTAGAATCTGAAACAATGGAAGACCTGCCTGAAAATAATGAAACCCATGAAGCTGGAGTATCTGAAGCTGCAGAAGACCAGCCTGGAAATAATGCAACTCATGAACCTGGAGAATCTGAAGCAGTGGAAGATGAGCCTAAATGTGCTGAAACTTGTCAAGGACAGCCAGAAAGTACTGCAAAGCATCTGTCTGAAGTGATAGAAAGCCAGTTTGAAAGTGCTGACATTCATGAAGCCGAAAAATCAGAAGCAATGGAAGACCAGTCTAAAAATTCTGAAAGTCAACAATCTGAAATCATAGAAGGTATGTGTGATAATAACAAAGCATCTGGAGGTACTGAAGACGACAAGTTGAAGTGTGCTGCAGTGGAAATTAAACAAACTACAGAACTTGAAAGCAAAGAAAGTGAGAAGGAAAAGAGCAGTGTGAAGAGCAAAAAACATTTAAAATTGCCAGATTTTAAGAGATTTGCAGAGCCTGGTCAATATCCCCATTCTAAGAAGCCAAAAGTTTCAGATAGAGAGTACAATAGGATAAGAAAGGGAAGTGAAGAAAAAGACTGGCAGAGAAAGGACTGGGATAGAGAAGACTGGTACAAAGATGACCGCTACAGAGAGGACTGGCATGGAGACGACCATTATAACAGAAACTGGGATCACCAGTACAAGAATAGAGACAGTCAACGGTATGTAATCTCTAATATATTAGCTTTTAAATCAGTTATTGGCTTTTATTCATTATAAGTATTTCAGTAGTTTATAATATTTCAGTAGTATTTAGTATTTGTTACTGGGCTTCTTGGGAAAGGACACAAAATTGTAATCCTGCACACTGCCAAGCCTGTTGTTAGAGCAACTAAGGGCAGGGTTAACAACCACTGCACTGGTGAAAAGATGCCAGCCACAGAAGCTAACCAATTGTCCAGAAGAGGTTGGTGCTGGATAAATCACATGTGTTAACTAGATTGTCCTTGCACTGGAACCCTGGAGGCAAAGAATTAGAGCAGAAGAAAAAGATGAGTAAGATGCGGGTAGAAGGACTTGGAATAAATGAACTGCACAAGATGTTACTGGAAAGGAAGGCTGGTGTGATCAATTGTAGGCCTGTGATTTATTGGGGAATAAGGAATCATTAAGCTACCAGTGCCAAACATGGACACTATCTAAATTCCATCTGTGCAAAATTACCACCTGCGAGATGAGATGCCTAAGAAAAGCAGCCAACCTAACCATCCGAAATTGAGTAAATAATAAAACTATTAGACAAATTGTGGCAACGACACCTTGTGCTAGATTCATTGAGAAACAGCAGATCAAGTGGTTTGGCCTTCTCATTAGAATTCAGCAAGATCAAATACCATCACAAGCACTACATCTCAGAAGATCAGTTGCAAGAGGGCGGCCATGGAAAATATGAATCAACAACATTAAAGACACTCTTCGCCTTCACGGCATGATAATAGCCAGTGGTAGCCAGCGTCCGCTGGATCCCAAATTATTCCTCCACACGACGCTTAATGGCAGAAGTGGTTTATAATGGTGATGATATGAATAAAAGAGATGTGTTAGTTATTTTCACATTGTTTTTAACATCTTCAGGAATTGTTTGCTTTGCAGATATCCCAGTATGGGTCTTAAACAGGACAATAGGCTCAAGGTTTTCATCTGCGCCCCATATTTTATTTGTGAGACTTTTTCTGTTCACAAAGTCTATTGGGCTCCAAGTCATGTTTTCTCCATTTCTTTTATGGGTTACTTCTCATTGCACTAAATGTTATTTTCTAACCCATTTTTTTGGACCTACCTGTTTATAACAATTTGTGGGACCATCATGAAATGAGACTCGCTGGTTCTGCCAGGTGCAGATTTTGAACACCAAAGCAAACTCCAGAGTGTGTTGTAGAAAATTGCCCAAACTGGCTATCCGCCGTTTAATAGTCCCGAATTATCGAGGCTGAAATTATACCCTAACAGGGCATCTGTCACATGTAAATTGCAGACCTCCTTCCGGCGACTACACAGCATACTGCGGAAAAGCTTCCTCCGAGTTAAAGTTACCGCCGAGAGTATCTCCCGTGCCGCTACACGCGGAGCGGGGCTAAACTAGATGGCTGGGACTCACAAGCAGCAGCTACCGCATCTCCTGCAGCCTCCTTCATTTAATTTGTTCGTGAGTCCCAGCCATAATCTAGTTTAGCCCCCACTGCGCCGCGCGTAGAAGCATAGGAGATACTCTCGGCGGTAGCGGTATAGTCGCCTGAAAGAGGTTTGCAATTTACGTGTGACTGAGGCTCTGTTTGGGTATATTTTCGGCCTCGATAATTTGGGACCGTTATTCCGAGGATAGCCCCCAAACTTTATATCAGAGTATGGAAATCTTGACCATAGGAACAGTTTCTTTAAGAACTACTAAAGGGGCAGTGGCGAAGACCTCAATTACATTATCCTGCTTGTGACTTGTACTGGACTAGACCGTAACTAACATTGATTGCAGAAGAACAGGAAGCAGAAGTGCATAATAATCTTAAGAGTTAAAGGTATATTTGACCCAGTAATTTTGAGTGGCCATGGTTGATATGTGCTGCAAGGTTACACTAAATTCTGACAGGGCGCATGCGATGTGGTATTCTTTGAACAACACCAGTGTTAAAACCAGCATCCCCAATGTGTGCTTCCGCAGGAATTTTATTGGTATACACAACTAATGGGATAATCTTTGACCACAGTCTGTCATACATTTGTCACATGTATACCATTGTACAGAAGTTTGTTTAATTTAGCATATTATGGAAGTAAATTTGTTGTTACCTTTCAGATTACCTTTTTATGGTGTTTTGTATAGAAGGGAAGTGAATTTGTTACCTTTCAGATTACCTTTTCATGGTGTTTAGTATAGAAGGGAAGTAAATTTGTTGTTACCTTTCAGATTACCTTTTCATGGTGTTTAGTATAGAAGGGAAGTTAATTTGTTGTTACCTTTCAGATTACCTTTAAATGGTGTTTAGTATAGAAGGGAAGTAAATTTGTTGTTACCTTTCAGATTACCTTTTCATGGTGTTTAGTATAGAAGGGAAATAAATTTGTTGTTGCCTTTCAGATAACCTTTTAAGGGTGTTTAATTTAGCGTATTAGTGAATAAATTTGTGTTTAACCTTTCAATGATTTTTAATTTAATGTATTAGGAAGTAAATTTGTTGTTACCTTTCAGATTACCTGGTAGTATTCCTACTGTACATGAATCTGGATACCCTGTGAAGCATCAACAAAGAGTACCGTTTCCTCCAGGCACTAGTCATTTACCTAACTATGGTCCTAGTGGTTCGTCATCATCTGGACAAATGTGGCCACAGTCCACACCAGAAATGCAACATGGACCAGGAATTGGGCCATATGGACCCAGCATCAACCAATATGGGCCTGGCGAGGGACCTCCTGGACCAAGTAGGGGACCTCCTATGCCAGGTTTTGGGCCTCCTGGACCAGGTATGGGACCTTCCTTGCCAGGTATGGGTCCTTCTATGCCAGGTATGGGACCTTCTATGCCAGGTATGGGACTTTCTATGCCAGGTATGGGACCTTCTATGCCAGGTATGGGACCTTCTATGCCAGGTATGGGACCTTCTATGCCAGGTATGGGACATTTGATGCCTGGTATGAGGCCTCCTGGACCAGCCCCTGTACCAAATGCAAACCTTCTAGGAATGCCACAACCAGCAGTTAAGGTAAGGACTATCTGCCCCCTCCCCCACTTCCACATTTTTACTTTAACTCATTCTGTTCTAAGGTCTTAAGTAATAATTTGAGTCTGAGACTTTATAACAACACTGGGTGACTGAATAGTTAACAAAGAATTGCACCAGAGTAATGTTACATAACTGGTTGGGTTAGAAAAGTGTGTCATGCTGGTTGAGACCAACTTGGCACTGAGCAAAAAAAAAATACTAGGAAGAAAAGTATTTTAATTTCAATCTTGTGTGTGTGTGTGTGTATAAAAGGTAAAGTTGGGAGATGTGAACCAGCGTAACTGCACACGATTATGAACGATTATGAACCCCAGCGTGTTAACTCTGGTACGCATTACCTAGAGGCTGGGTGAACCCCGGGAACCGCCTGGTTTCAAAAAGCTGGATTTGAAAGTGAGTCTCCTATCGACTGAGCTAACGCGGCCCCCTATATATATTATATATAAATATATATGTTTGTATAGGGTTTTTCTATTTACAACCTTTACACAGTATTTTAAAACTACAAATCTTCAGTGGCCGCCATCATCGTTCGTAAATACACCACAGCCCGTCATGCAGGATTTCAGTATTGCACCACCAGGCATGCAGTCTGCTCAACCATTTGTAAATGCACAACAGTCCGCAGTGCAAGATTTCAGTACTCCGCCACCAAATGTGCAAGCTGTGAAACAACCAGAAGAGATATGGGTGGAAACTGCTACACCGACTGGCCAGGTGGGTACTTGATTTGAAATAGGACTATAGTAGAGAGGGCAAATGCTTATGTCATTTATATGTCTCTATGCCTGTCCTCTCTGTAGCGGTCATCTCTGTACCGACCTTCTCTATCCCAGTCCTTTCTATGCCTTTTTCTTCACTTCCCTTTCTTATCCTATTGTACTCTCTATCTAAAACTGTTTTAAAGATAGACCACCAAGCAGACAGGCAAACCTGCTAGCTGTTACATCATCGCAAACAATACCCCCCCTCCTGCCTCCACCCCAAAGGCACTAATATGAGGGATTTCTCATACTGTTTTTTGTGTGTGTGTGAAAGGACATAATAACTAAATGCGAACAGAGCAGAGAAATAACAGCCACAGTTTATTATGTCATATAAAAATCAGTTTGTTTCACTGAAAATAATGTCTCCAAAAAAATATTTGTGTGCTAAATATGATCATACCCACCACATCTACCCACTATGCAGTTGCAGCTGGTACCAAAAAACATATAGGCCTATTGGCCAATGCCCAGAGACGTCATGTCATAAAAAACCTGGAAAACCGTCTTTTTCGGGGCAACAGGGTTCAGGGTGAAAGCAGAAGTAGAAACCCTTTTCTGCAGAAGTAGAAATAGTAATAATAGAGCATGGAATATGAGGATGTTTACACAGGTTTATGAGATGATCTGGAGCTGCTGCGGTGTAGCAGCTAGATGCTCACCTGCGGATCTAAAGATCGTGCAGCCAAACTTTAAAAAAAAAATGTCTTGGGCTCCAAGGTGGGCCCAGTTTTAAATGAGTGCTAGGTGAAGTCCTAGGAAGTAAAAGCGACTAGCGTGATGTTGACCACATCACCCACAGAGTGCGGATTTGTCTATAATACATAGCTATAGCCTTATATGCCCAGTTTCTCAGAATCTTTAGAAAAGGGTCCTTTACTTACATGAGATAATCAAGCTGTTTTGAACAAAATGTTGATGTCGTCTTTGCATGCTTCCATTTAAGATGCCAACTCTCTAAATCACAGATTGTGAAATTATAAGTAGGTTCTGTAGATGAGCTGATTCAACAAACACCACCTTGCCTATATAGTTCTTCTTAACCTGTCTGCTAAAAGTCATAGCATGAAAGAAGTAGAGCACTAGTAATAGTGTGACAACAATCAGACGGTTGCTGGTACCATCCGAATTGGAACTCTTCGCTTGCTGCTGAAGATGGGGACTGAGCACCCAAGTGTCCCTAGTGCTGTGATGTTGATTCTTAATTCAGCATTTTTAATAGTGTGGCAGATTTAGTCTTTTTACAGTATTTCAGATCATATTACAGTATTTTGTATTATCTTCCAGTGTTTTAAACTGTAGTAATAATGAATCAGATAATCAAATAAATCAGAGGCACACCTTCAGTCCAGCGTACTTGTCTGGAAGGAAGAGCTTGAAAAGAGAGGGATGACCATCAGTATCTCAAAAACTAAAACCATGGTGATCTCAAGAGAGGAGAAGAAACACCAGATCATGATGGGACAGTATGCATTGGTGCAGGTTAACCAGTTCAAATACCTTGGAGTTGTATTAGACCGAAACGGAGCCATTAAAACTGAGCTGGCTACACGAAAAGCAGCTGCTGGGAGACTCTTCCAGGCCATAAACCTAGGGTTTCTTAGCAAAAGAGAAATTGGCAAGAGGACGAAAATGGCTGTTTACCGCTCTACCTATGTACCAGTCCTGACCTATGGGTGTGAGTCATGGGCAATGACAACAGCTCACAGAAGCTAGCCGCAGGCCTCAGAAATGAGATATCTGAGAAAGGTGGTCCAAGTGACAAGAAGGGACAAAGTCCGCAATCAGACAATATGTCAAGATCTTGATACCCAGTCCTTACAAACCCGAGTGGATCAGTCACAGTTACGATGGTTTGGACATGTATGCAGAATAAGAGAAAATCGGCCACCATGGCAAGCATGGCAGGCTAAGAACCAGGGAACTAGACCTCCCGGACGACCCAGGGTGTGCTGGGAAGACAACATCAGACAGTCATTAACTGATAGAGGACTGGAATGGAACAAAGCCTGAAAGAAAACTGCTGATAGAGACGTCTGGTGATCTCTCTGGCAAACCTCTACACCCCAAGGTAAAAGAGGAGCGACTAAGTAAAGTAAAGTAATAATGAAGTGGGAACTGCTGTGGTCTAGCGGCTAGGCACTAGCCTGCAGATCGGAAGGTCGTGGGTTCGGTTTTGGGCAGAACCGGACTCTTCCCCCCCCCCCCCCAATGACTTTGGCTCTTGTGTCAACCCAGATTTGAGTGGGCACCAGGTACAATAGTGGGAAGTAAAGGCGGCCGGTGTTATGCTGACCAAATCATGCAGTCAGTGGCGATTGGTCTATAAAATTTAGGTCTAGCTGTATATGCTCAATATGCCTGAAGGCATGGAAGAAGGTCCTTCACTATTTTTTCACTTTTTGCTAATAATGACTCTGAGTAGAATATGGTATCCCCATGTAGGTTCTGGAGCCTTACTGTGAGGAAGACAAGAATAGACCCACTGCCTCCCCAACAAGCATTTTGTAAGAGTAGACTAATTGGGAGGTTCATTCAAAGTCGGAGGAGTACATCTGCCGGAGAGGTAAAGAGCAAATAATCTCCGCACAAATAAGTCAGAATTGTAAAACGGATGTATACGCAGCTTTCCACCTGAGTTTGCAGCAGAAGTCAAAGAATGTGTATATTGGACAAATTATTTATAAAGGCATATAAAGTTTTGTAATATTAAATAGCCACTATGTTTTATTGAGTCATGGTAAGAAGTAAAGCAATTTTTTCATTGTGCAGCTCAGGAACAACCCATCCTTAAAAAAAGTAAAACAATGTTAAATTGCAAGGCCTAATACTGTCCTTATAAGCCAAATGTCTTTTAATCTGAAATTATTTTTACACAGAATCATTTGCCGTATGTGAAATGTTCTAAAAATTGGTTGTTTATGTTTAAACATTGATTATTTTGTTTCCCTTGAAAGGTGTATTATTACCATTCAGAAACTCGTATATCTTCCTGGATAAAGCCTCAGAATGCATGCATTATTAAGCAGGCTGTATGGGAAAAAGCACATCAAAACATTTCTGAAACAGGTAAAATATTTATATATGAAAATTTTAAATAATGTTAGAGGTAGGTTTTGTTTCATTTAGCTAAATTTTTTTCATTTAGTTTCATTGAGGAGAATGGTGCTGCAAGGAGGGTCCAGGGGATTTGGTTGATGCTTTTCACTCATGGGGAAGGCGAGACGGAAATACAGTCAGACTCGTTACTGATGCCATCAGAACTAGCACTCTGTGCTTGCTACTGAAGATGGGGATGGAGCTCTTATGGGAATGCCTCGAGCACTGTGATGTTGGTTCTTAATTCATGAGTGGGAAAAGAGGCAAATGTTATTGATGAAGTATAGATATCATCAAGTGGCTCTGTCGGAGTCCACTGAATTACTTTTCTGGTGGTGGCTCATAGGGTCTTCATAGTCCAGGCAGTAATGATAATAATAATGGTGACAAAGTTGCCCCTCTGTCATACTTCTAGACTTATTTCAAATGTTCCTGTTGATTTTCCCACATGAATTCAGAACTAAATATGTTAATCTTTATTGATTTTTCTGTGGGATTTCCTATGGTAGGGATAAGGAATCTCCAGCCCACGACCCTGTGAGACCCACAAGATCATTTTGTTTGGTCCAATTATGGCAACCCACAGTTCAATATTTGACCACATATAAATATATATATAAATATATAAATAAAAAAGAAATTAAAAAAACGCACGCACACATGCACACACACATATATGTATATGTATGTATATATATGTGTATATATATATATATATATATATATATATATATATATATATATATATATGTGTGTGTGTGTGTATATATATATATATATATATATATATATATATATATATATATTAGGGCTGTACCGAATATTCGCTTCGAGGCCGAATAGTGGACCTATTGACTATTTGGTATTCGGCCGAATAGTATAGGTCGGACCGAATATGAATAGTAGTTACCTTACACCCGCTTCTGCTTACACGGCCTTAACACTGACAACATGGAACGATTGGTTTTGTTGAAAGCTATTGCCGCTTTCATGCATTAACTAAGCTGTCAGTGACAATTTACAAGTTTGGTTACTTGATATAATACTTAGGATTCTTTCATTTCTAGTTATTACTTACCACAGACTGTAGGATGCATAAAATGTTTGTAAATGTTTACTATTCTGTACGAATACTAACTAGACATGGAAAGAATATAAACTCCGGCCACATCCAAGTCGATAATATAAAAATCAAACAAACGGAAACATATAAGTACTTGGATGCAAACTTCAGCTGCTTCAACATGCTGAGAGAAGAAATACAATCTAGAAATAAAGTATACTATGCCCATCAACATCTGCTAAAGTCAAAGTGTCTGTCTCGGAACACCAAGATCAAATTATATAAAACGTTGATAAGACCAGTCGTTTTATATTGCTCTCAAACCTGAAGCAGAAATAAAAGAGATGAGGCGTTATTACAAGTTTTTTAAAACAGTCTTACGACAAATCTTTGGACCCATCAGAGATGCTAAAAGCGGGGAATGGAGAGTGAGAAGCAACAACGTAACACATAATCTGTTCAAATCACCATTGATCACTGGCATCACGAGAGCTAACAGACTAAAATGGTTGGGGCATATTGAAAGAATGTCAGATGACAGAGAAGCAAAACTGTATACACCTGAGAGAGGAAAGGGCGCAGACCACAAGGCAGACAAAAAAGAAGTTCGAGAGATAATGTCCAGCCAGACCTGCAAACAACTGGTGTCACACATTGTGAAGAGAAGGCCAGCCAGAGATATGAATGGAGAGTGATATCTGCAGCAGTAAATCTCAAGAGCTCAGAATGCTAAAGAAGAAGATGACTATTCTGTGCTACTTTATGTGAAGTAAAAGTTCAGCGTACATTTGACATTATAAATGTTTTTTTTAAAAAGATATATTTTATACACTACACACTTCTTATTTGGCCGAATAGTTGGTCCCGTTATTCGTATTCGGCCGAATAGTGAAAATCACTATTCGGTACAGCCCTTATATATACATATATATATATATATGTATATATATTATAATTTATAAAAGATGATTAGTTTGCGTTGATTAATTCCTTTTTTTTTTTTATTTAAAAGGTGGTTTGGAATTATTTGCTCCTCGCACATTTTCACCTCTTGGCACACTGAAGAAGAAAAAATCTATTCGGAAAGACAAAAGATTCAAAGTACTGCCAAAAGCACATGTTAAAGCTTTTCAACCGCCAGAGGTGCGTTTTATTTCTTTATTTATTGATCATTGATTTAAATGAAAATGTATGTTTTTACATTAACACTGTCCTGTTAAAATATTTACAAAGTATTTTTACTGCCTGAAATGTATATGCTATCTGTTATGTTCATTTCTTTTCCCTTGTAGCGGCTAGGCATTCACATGCGGATCTGAAGGTCGGTGGTTCAAAGTGCCAGATTTTTTGTTTTGTTTTCAGACAGAACCTTGGCTTCCATTTCAACTTTGACCAGCCTAAAGGGTACTAGGTGAAGTCCTGGGAAGTAAAGGCAGCTGGCATGATGTTGACCTCATCACCCATCGGGGGCCGATTGGTCTGTAAAAATATCAGCCACGTCTCACATGCCCAGTGTGTCACTGTGTGTAAAGGAACCTGCCCCCACAACGTCGAGAGAAAGAAACAATGAAATCCTCACAGCTGGTCAAGGACTTGGACTGTCTTTCACCTACACAAAGAGTTTTAGAAAGCGCCAAATCTTCACAGAAGAATAAAACTATTTCGACCACTTCAAGGAAACGAAAAATCCAACCAGCAACTAAGAAAACCACAGTTACAGAAATGAACACCACCAAGCAAGTCACACCAGTAGACTCAACAAATACAACAATACTGAATGCAGAGAAACAAGAAAAATACTGCAGAGCGAAACTCCAGACTACTTTCCGGTTATGATAATAGTACCACCGGAAGCACCCCCTGGAGAGACTATTGCCTTTGAAAAGGCTGAAGAAAACACTTGTCCTCTGCTACTAGCACAACAAGGAAGAACTACACAACAAGGCAAGAGAGAGAGAGCTTATTTCTAAGAATTGGAAACAATACTGAGCTTCTAAAAAGCATTAGCTGTTACTTCCACCACAGCTCACCCCAAAGTGGCCAGTTTTAAATATCCTTGATGAGACTGCCAAACTGTAGTCTTTGAGTGTCAGGATCTTGCACACATGAAGAATTACTTCCATGAGGGCCAGATAAAGAACATTCTGAATAAGCATGTTAAAGTTAGTTCCGTATCCTTTGCAGAACCAACCCAAGCATTTTTTGCCTGTTGTGGTTTTTCTAGGCAAATTTACATCCAGTAGTTTTGCCATTGCTTTCTGGACGGTCAGCTTCTCGATACCACTGTCGATACCAATGCAAGGCCTAGGGCCCGCAGCTAGGATCGAACCCGGCACCCCAGCATTATGAAGCTCATTCGCAACGCCTAAGCCACAGACGCCTGGATGGAATATGACAGCTGCTAATTAACACTTGCTTGTATTTAAAATTTATTGGGCTAAAGCATGAAAATTCAGAAGCAGTAATAGCAAAAAAACGACAGTCAATTAGATGGAAGTTAATTACTCAGAGAAACTGTTTTCTTTTTGTATTAAGTAATGGACAGATAATGCCAAAAGAATACTTTTTACCACCAGCTTCAACCATCGCCCTCAGAAGCTAAAGAATGGGTAGAATACATCAGTCCTGAGGGCCAGCTCTACAACTACAACATTTATACACACAGGTTGGCACCCAATAATAGGCAGAGGGTGTTAGTAAACTTGGAAGGTAATATTTTCTCTCTCTCTGTCTCTCTTTCTCTCTCTGTCTGTCTCTCTCTCTCTGTCTGTCTCTATCTCTCTGTCTCTATCTCCCTGTCTCTTTCTCTTTCTCTGTTTGTCTCTCTCTCTCTCTGTCTGTCTCTCTCTCTCTCTCTCTCTCTCTCCCCTCCCTTCCTTCCTCCCTCTCCCTCCTTCCTTCCCTCCCTCTTTCTCTGTATTTGTAATAGGGGGGGGGGGGGGAGCTGTTGTATAAACACTTGCATTTTTCACCTTTTGGAATCATGTGGCACATAAGCATCTGTCTTTTGTTGTTGTAAGTTATAAATAATGTCTAGGGCGATCATAAATTCTGTTTGGGTTTTTTTTTTAATTGGAGTTTAAAAAAAAAAAAACAGTAAAAGCTTGATCGAATTCCATGGGACTGAAATTTCAAGATTTCCTGTTAACAAAAAAAGGTGGTGCTAATTGGGGACTTTTCTTAGTGTTCACCGGCTGTGAACTGCGGCAGAAAGTTCTGGTTGTTTGTCTTCTTTCAGGGCTCTCATCTGGTTCTAGAACTGAATTTCTGGGAAGGCCAACCTGATCAACAGATAACTGCAAAATGTGTAGGTTGTGTTGGCACCCCCCCCCCCCCCCACCCCACAGTTCCAGGACTCCATTATAGAGAACAAATAATATAAAAACATTCTTTCTTCTCCACCCCCCACCCCACCCCACCCCCACACACACACACACACACACACACACACACATACAAGCATGCGACGAATTAGGGATGTCAGAGTCACAGTGCATCTGCCAGACAGGCAAGGAGCCAACAGTCTGCAAATAAATAAGCCAGATCTGTAAAACAGATGTGCACACAGAACTCAGGTTCTTGATGAAGACCAAAGTCCAGAAGTGGATGAACAATCAGAACTTTCTGTTGGAGTTAACAGTCAGAGAACACAAAGAAGAAGAATGGTTTCTTCAAGACTAATATATTTATAGACTGTGTCGTCTACCAGATACATACATTCTGGTGTTAAGATGCCTCTTTCATCTTCTCGGAAAACCAAAAATAAAAATGCTGTTTCAAACAGTCACATTTATTGCAGTTAATTAGAATCTGTAGCAGTGTAGTTGGTTTGGTTTCATTCTGTGCAAATCACAAATGCAGTTATGCTTCTGCTGCCAAGTTGTTGTTTCTAAATGTTCTATGTTTTGATACTGGTAATAGACAGATGTAAACCTGCCGAAGCTTCACAGGCGCAGACAAGTGGTCATCTTAGTGCAGCCAAGGTTGAGGAAACAGACAGTGAGGACAGCAGTGATGAGTCAGAGGAGGAGGAGGTTGCTGAGGTTAGACTGCCGTGTCTGCTTTTTACCTATATTATTGGCTGCAAATTTAGCACAGTCCATCATTCTTCCTCTTCGTCTTCACCAGCTGTAAACTCCGGCGGAAAGTTCTGGTTGTTTGTCCACTTGTGGACTTTTGTCTTGTTTCAGGACTTGAATTTTCTTTGCACATCCATTTAACAAATCTGTTTATTTTTATGCAGACTGATGGTTCTTCACATCTTAGGCAGATTCAGGGGCAAAAGGGGTTAATACAGCTTGAATTATGCAGCGATCTGTCTGGATACATCTTACTTGATTGTAATGCACCCATTCTTTCTCATATCTGAACACAGAGCAGGCTTTTATTCCATCAGTAAATAAAAGTTTTCCACTTGGCCAAATAATAATCTTATTTTTGCAGAAACAGTGCACCTCTAATGACAATAACATCAGATAATAAAAATCCTCTATAAAGAGTAACAACATTACAAATGTCTTGAAAGCTTCTTTGTCCTACACAGGTGACTCAGAAATTTGTAATTAAAAATCAGGGGAATAGGCACACATCTAGCAGTTTTGCAGGCCATCTCTAGCCAGATCATTCTTTTTTTTTTTTTTTTTGTTACTTTGCAACGCTGGCTAAAAATGCTGTTACTTATTCATTGACAGAGTTTTAGGCAATCTAGTATTTTGCATCCTAAGAAAACCTGGCGAAGGAGATCCTTTTTTGTGTAAGTGTGTGACTACAAAAACAGACTCATTTAAAGATGCTTGATTTAAAATTCAATTGCTGGTCCAACAAAGAAGGTCTGATGAAGGGATACAGCTCAATCGATTGCAATTAATGTTTTACTTGAAGAACATGTTTATACGCAGAAGTTGAAATTCTCCAAGATCAAGTGGAAAAAAATATATGCATAGATCAAAGACTGTTTAAAAATGTAGGGAAGAAAGACGTTTCAGGTTTAAAGGTTTAGGATTAAACAAAGGATCTGCATCATGGCACAAGGGTAGTAACCCATAAGGGCTCTGTTGCACTTCTAAGTTAAACCTACTCTGAAAAATGTTGAACTCTAAATTTTGCCTGGGCATCAGCACCATTAGGCTACTCTTTTTGATTTCCAACTGCCAAGGGATTTTTTTAAAGTGAGCAACAATACACACGGAGGTCTATTCTTACTACCCAGAGACAGAGGAAATTACTAGAAGACCACATGAAAAATTCCTAGCCCATCCCTGGGGCATGAACCCAAGACCTCCAGCACTTGAGGCGGACCCCATGCCTCGAGACCACTCAGCCCCCTAAAATTTATGAAAAAAGACAATACAGTGAGTATGCTGCAGTCTTATGAGAGCCATATTGGAAGGAAAACGAGACGTAAAGATACACGAAGGAAAGTGATATCAAGAGATGAACAAACATTAGTCTGTCCGAGTGTGTAACTAAAACAAAAAAGAGAAAATATTGAATCAAGGCAAAACTTTTGGCCAAGAGAAACATCTGTCCAAGCCACGAACTTTACCGGTCGCTGAGTGAATTACTGAAGACAGTGAAGCTCATACTAGAAACAACATTGCAGATATAGATCATCTATTTCAAGCGAACGAAAGAAGAAGAAGAAGAAAATGTTGACACACTTCATTGTCCGATTTATTTTTGTGAAGATATGTAGTGGGTTACAAAGTGTCAGAATACATCGTGTTTGAAGTTTGCAGCATTGTTTATTTATAATATGTGGTCTTCGGTTATAAATATTTAATCTTGAAATATTTCTTAGGAAAAGAAACAGCCAGTGGCAGTTGAAGTAAAGAAACCAGAGCAGAAACCAGCTAAGGCAAGGCCTGTTTCCAGTACTCCAATAGCTGGCACAGTTTGGTGAGTTGAATATATCATAGACATTACTATTGATCTTTTTATGTTTTTTTTTTTAAATTTTTACATCACAGATCTAATTTAATGACAGTCTCATATACAGTAACATTCAGCTTGACAATTTCACATCTTGATGTGAAACGATCAAGTATTTAAATAACTCTTTCTAACTAAGGTACAATATTTTTTTATGTACCTCAAACAGAGGGAATCTGTGGGAATTCCACAGCTGACCTGACAGTCCACTATTTCAAGAGGTGCAAGTGTGCTGTTGCTGTCATTTCTCTTCTAGTGTTTTTTGGTGCGTCAAATATCTGTCTGTTGGTGCGCAGTCGACTGCTTGTTGATGCGCTATTGCCTGGTGTACAATACTGGTCATGTTTTTAGATCATTTTGTCATGTGAATGTGTAGCGTAGTTGATAGTTATAAATGATAGGTGCGGCGTTCAATCCTTACCTGACTTTTTTTTTTTTTTTTGGTAAATTAATTTTTTTAAGAAATGTAAATTGTGTTTTTGGCTATCCTCAGAATAACCATCAAAAATTATCAAGGCCGAAAATAAACTCTAACAGGGCCTCAGTCACATGTAAATTGCGGACCTCTTTCCGGTGACTATACCGCCACCACCGAGAGTATCCTCCCGAGGAAGGCTAAACTAGATGGCTGGGACTCACAAGCAAAAAAAATGGAGGAAGCTGCAAGAGATGCGGTAGCTGCTGCTCATGAGTCCTAGCCATCTAGTTTAGCCTTCCTCCGCGCCGCACGTAGCAGCGTGGGGGATAATCTCGGCGATGACGGTATAGTCGCCGGAAAGAGGTCCGCAATTTGCCGTACGGGTATGTCCAGATGACAGGTGGACTTTCGACACCGGCAAATGGTCGTGTGTCTTTCTGACAGCGATAATACACCATCTGTCTGATGGTTGTTTTTGCAACGTCTTGTTCTGTGCAGAATGCCATGCTGGCAATGCAGGTCTCTTTGTCTCATACAAGTGCTCGACTGAACAGGCTTCAGGCATGCAGCCATGAAGTCTATCACAACTGACCACCAAAGGTGAAGAGCTGATCACACAGGCAACAGAAACTGGTGACCCAACGACACGCAGTGTTACGGGATAAAGATGATGATGAATGGCAAACAGCTGCTCTATCATTACTCACTCACAATGTTGTAATGCCCACACTTATACAAGAAATATAATTTGGAACTTGCTTTATTAAAATATATGTTGTTTGTAAGGTTAATATTGATGCTGCTTTCTGATTACTGCAGGTGTGTGGTTCGGACTAGCGAAGGGAAATGTTTCTTTTACAATCCAACTAAACGCCAGTCAGTGTGGAAAATGCCTGAAGAACTTAAAAACAGACCGGATGTTGAAAAGCTGTTGTCAGCTAAACCAGATGTGACAACTGGTTAGTGTATGATTTTGTGTGTGTATCTTCTCCAGAATTTCTAAATGCCTGTGTCTAGTCATAAGTTAGTCATTGTCACCATATGCTGTGCCGATAAGTAAAGGCTAATCTTGTCTGGCCCCCATCTACAGGTTGCATCCTCGAGTACATTCCTTCTCATAGCATGTCTGAAAAACACAGTCTGTCTCCATCTAAATTCTTTAGTTTATATTTTACATTTGTCTCGGGGAGGTCCGTCTCATTTATATTTTCTTTCATTCCATAATGTTATTTGTAGTTTACTCAAAAACAAAATCTCTGCTGCGAATACATTGAGTACAGTAAGTTAATTATTTGTATTAGAAACTTTTTTTTTTTCACTGAAACATTTATTATAAGAAAGCGCCGCTGGAACTACATCGGCTATGCACTCATAATGGACAAGACAAGTCTTCCCCATTAAGCCCTCATAAGGACACCGCAAGAAAAAAGAAAACGAGGCAAACCAAGAGGCTCTACATAGAACCATCAGCAGGGAAGGTTCATTTAGGGGCCTAACAAACATCCAAGATCTGAAACATGTGGCGGCAAACCGCCAGACATGAAAAGCTATGACATCACCCCTATGCGCCATCCTCAGCCTAAGAGAAAGACTGTCTAACTGAAACATTTCTGTATTAGAATGCTTAAGATATTTTGTCAGGTAAATGTTGAAATGCATAAAAAAAAGGTGTTGAGCACAATTTTTGATAGTCTTTGCTATTGAAAATACAAACTGGACAAATTTTGGGGGAAAGAAAGAATTTGTTGAAGAGAGAATTGCGTGTAAAGAGGATGTCCTCTAGGGGGATGGTTGAAGGGATTTTGTGCACATGCGTGAATATTTTTCATGTGCAGAAAGCATTAGTTGCTGGCACTTAGACTGTGAGGGGACTAGTGATTCAGTTCTTGAGTTGTCATTTGATGTGAAATTCATGTCTTAACATCTAGCCCCACAAATGCTAAGACAAAATGGATCATAAACCTGTGTGAATTTCTTTTTTTTTTTTAAATCCTTTAAAACTATTTTACAGTGGTAACAAATTATCTACATTTTGTAAATGTTTGTTTTGAAATATGTAAATATTTATGAAAGGGAATAAAGAAATGAAAACAGAATTAAGAATGAAGTGGAATGCATTCCTTGGGGCCTATAATAAATATCTGTTGACTGACTCTTGTCGTGACCTTTGTCTTCTTCAGCGATCTCTGGTCATGCGCATAAACCACTGTGGGTCATAAACTGGGATGTCTTTTCAAGGTCTCTTAGGTTTCCCCAAAGCTTAGTTGTCAGTTCTACTGGGTGTTGCCATATGTGGCTCCGCAGCTCCGCCAGGAGAGGACAGTCTTGCAGGACATTTTCTGGGGTCTGTTCAGCACGAAGGCACTGGCAGAGAGCTGTTTGGCTCATACCTAATTAATGTGAGTGTTTATTGAGTCTGCAGTGTCCAGTGCGTAAGCGAAAAACTGTGACTTGGTCTGTTCTGTTCAAGTGTTTCAGAAAATCTTTTCCGTAGTTATAACCAGTGTTGGTTTTCCAATCTGTTTCTGATTTTCTCTTAATGAGAGTTTTGACTTCTAGAAAAGATAGTGGCTGGTAGGTCTGTGGTTTGTTACTGCCTTCCTTGGCTAAAGCATCTGCGCTTTCATTGCCTGTGATGCCACAGTGAGACGGAATCCACTGCAAGTGAATTTCTGCCTTATTTGACAACATAGCAAGTTCCTGTGTTAGACTTTGTAGTGTGCTGTCGGTAGGTTTGGACTCTAGGGCCTGTATAGCTGACAGTGAGTCAGTCAGAAAAACTATCCTGCCTGCGGTAATTTGCAGATTGTTCATATACTGCGCGTGACCTTTGTGATAATGGCAATATCATTTACAGGGCCGTGTCACAACCGGAAGGGACTAGATTTAGCCTTCTGAGGGGGATGGGGTTTATAGCAGCACTGTGTTGCATCAAATTTGTCTAAAAGCTCATCAGTACCCAAGTAGAAACCATTCGTAAGATTCAACGAGCTTTTGGCACACACAAATTAAAGAAGAGTAGATCAGCTTAAAAATCAGCTGCAAGCAGTTCTGTAGCCAACTGCTTTGTGTGGATTTCAACAATGGCATGATTATCGTTCCATTAAGAAATCTATAGAAAACTAAATTTCTGTCCATCATGTATTTTCATCCCAAGTTGTTACTTTTGTATTTCTTAATTTCTGGTTGCATTGTTTCATAAACATTTTTTTCCAGAGAAAAAGAAAGAAAAGGACGTGCATGAAGGACCACCACCAAAGAAAATGAAGTAATTATTCTTTTAGTATTTTTTAATGAAGTGATTATGGTTTGAAAATATGAAAATGGTAAATTACCCTGTTTTCATGCTATTATTACACCATGCAAATATAGTGCTTTGCCCAAATTTTCTTGACCCAGCAGTACTGGATAGGTGATATGGTCGGTATTATGCTGACCGCTGCTTTACATCCCAGATCGTGTTCTGGTATTTTAAGTGTGCGACATGCCCAGTGGGGTCATCCCTATGTCAGTGGTGTTTTTAAATCAAGGCTGTCAGAGAGGTGCTCCTATTAGCTGTGAGCATAAATAGTTAAATCTTTTACGATCCCTGTGTGGGTTCCGAGGTTCTATTTTGTGGGTGGGGGAGGGGGGGGGGGGGGCAACAAGAATATACCCACAGCCTTCACAACAAGCATGTTGAAGGATATGACTAAATGATGGCTTTTTTTGAATTTGGAGTGCATCTGCCTGATAGGCAGGAAACCAACAGTCTGCATACAGGTAAGATCTGCAAAACAAATCTGCATGCAGCACTCAGGTTCTGGAACATGACTGAAGTCCAGAGATGGATGAAAAACCAGAAGTTTCCAGCCGGTGAATGTAAAAAAAGAAGAAATCTTTGACAGAGTAAGAAAAATAGTAGTCCTTACCTGCACAGACTGCAGGCTTCACCAGACTCATGTAACAATTACAGGTACCCTAATTATTTCCTTGGAGGTTGTTGAGGCACCTTGCATGTGTCCTGTTGGTCTGCCGCCCGGAATAAGATTTTTTTTAAAATCTAAGGGTGTGTCAAATGTTTATATAGCAACCTGGAAGAGAAACAACACACACACCTGCACATACAGGGAAAGGAAATTTCTCAAATAACTGGCTTCAAAATGGAGACTATAAAGCTTTGTGAGTACTGAAGATTGCAGAACAACCTGTGGAAGAGCAGAGAGTTTTAAAAATGGGCTATCCTCCGATTAACGGTCTCAAATTATTGAGGCCAAAAATATACCCTAACAGGGCCTCAGTCACTTGTCAATTGCGGACCTCTGGGGACTACACCGCCACCGCCGAATTGCAAACTTCCGGGGACTATACCGCCACCGCCGGGAGTTTACCCCATGCCACGTGAGCGGTGTGGATTGGGGCTAAACTAGATGGCTGGGACTCATGAGCAAATAAAATGAAGGAAGCTGCATGAGATGCGGTAGCTGCTGCTCGTTAGTCCCAGCCGCGTGGGGGATACTCTTGGCGGTTCCAGAAGTGCGCAGTTGACATCTGACTGAGGCCCTGTTAGGATATATTTTTCGGCCTCAATAATTTGGGACCGTTATTTGGAGGATAGCCAAAAAATGTCTTTATTCTGTGACATTTTGAAAATTTCTGTTTTCTGCTTAGAGAGTACTCTGCTTCAAAATAAGTGTTTGAGTTATGTAGTCGGTTTCCTGCTGGCCACCTTTACTTCCTTTAGCCTTTTTGTGTACTTATTTAATGCTGGTTTCTTTTTCTACATTCATCTAAAGATTAAATTGCATTGTGCCTGTTTACAACATGGCTGCTATATGTGCACCTTTCGGCTGACACACTTGCAACTTTTGCAGGCATTTTTTGCCTGGGTTAGCCTTTCTGGTTTAGTTTCGTGGGATAAGCCACGACCGGCTCCAGGTGACGGGCTTTGCTGCTGACGTCACTAAACAGGGCTAACATTACGTTAATGCAGTGATTCTCAGACTGGGTGCTGCATGTCAGGGGTGCCACGGAAATAATCAAGAATTTTTCCAAATCTGCTTGACATAAAATTTGCACTGTTTTTCTTCTTCTATATTTCTTAAGTATTCAAACCGCTTTAAAGGTAGGTGTGCAGCGAGTTTTTGAACGTGTGTGGCTAGACTAAAACATTTTGAGAAACTCTGCGTTAACGTATTGTTAGCCTGGTTTGGTGACGTCAGCAGCATGGCCCGTCAGCTGGAGCCAGTCTTAGACATGCAGTATCTTTGCTGCGTCGTTATCTTTGTTTCCAAGTTCACAGATTATGTCCCCCTCCCCCGTCAGGCTGGTCCAGAGCTGCCTTGCAATGCTTGTCAGCCCCGAAGAGAAGGTAGAGGCTGAATATGAGCATTCCCTGCCATCCAAGGAGACTTCCATAAATGCAGAGCTAACAGTGAATGGTACTCTGGTACTGGGCTCACCCAAGCATCATCACATCCTGCCCGTGACTGTTTAACCTCTCTTCCGTACACTGAGCCTCTCATTCATCATAGTTTGTGCCTTTAGAAGACAGCAGACTGCCTGCAGAGCTGTGATTGTGACTGCCTACACAAAATTAGCACTTTGCTTCTGATGCGTGTTAGACCTTTACTGCAGCAGACTTCCAGTTTCATATGACTTATTCTGGCATGACCCAAGAGCCTACCTCAGTTTTAAAGAGTTTGCACCCCTAGAGGAATTCTTAACTCATAGCCACTGCAATTGCACTAGGCAGAGGTGATATCTCCTTCCTGAGGGGCAGGCTAACAAGTAAAATGGAAGATAATGAAAACCTGTTCCTGGGTGGGGGGAAGGGGGCAAGATGAGTTGTTAACCAGATGACATGGTACCATCAGCGTGGAGACTCTTTTCTGGCTGCTGAGGAATGAGACCCAGATGCACCCAGATATCTCATGGCCTCCGGGCAAGCAAACATGCTAGCCATTGCACTCTCGCACCGTCCTTTAGTCAATGAATTACTGATTAATTTTTCTTCTCGGGAAGATCATTACTTAACTTAGATTCACTATCATCAGGTAGCAGATCCTTTTGCAGAACGTTGCTGTCATCACATCCTGCCTGGAGAGAGAAAAAAACGCGATCTCTTGCCAGACCTGCCGCCGCTTGCACTTTCCTACCCAGAGTATAATTTGTGCCCTGTGCCTGTCTTCATTTGGTCACTGCTCTGTCTGACACCATGCTTTCTGCTTCGATTATTTTTGTGTGTGGCTTAGATTACCTATGAAAATTGGGCGTTTACTGGTATCACTTCAGCATTTTGAGCTCTATTGACACCAACAACAACAACAACAGCAAATTCTTCTGAAGGACTCTCGGACACCCTCATCAGACTACTTTTTTTCTTTCTGCATTCACCTCTAAATGGACAGTGAACTCATTAGGTTGTGATCTATAGCTAGGCTGAGTACCTGTACCTTCGGCCCAGCACATCCGATCTCAGCGAAGTTGAACTACGTAACTTTTATATTTTAAAGCAAAAAATTTTTAATATGGAAGACGATAATATATTGTATAAACAGGATATAAAATTATACATGTTGACATTGATGTGGTTTTTGTATGTAATACTTTATTTAATTAAAAATGTTATGATGCAACTCATCGTTTTTTTTTAAATATTTTTGTTTACATGGAACAATGGTTTGTTAGCACTTTTGCTATTTTTTATGAATTTGTCTGGTTTTCCGTTTGTTCAGAGGTATTGTCAGAACCGCCTGATAAATCGGTGTTAGAACTTTATGTGTTACTGTTGTATCCGTACAAGGAAATCGTGAGATCGGGCTATTTTCTCTCTAATGGTGATCTAGAACGTGTTAAAAATCCATCACCATAACCAAGTATATTCACAAAATTGTGATTCTGTGTTGCTGCTTACTAGATTCTTTAACTCTTTCAGTACAATAAGATTTTTTATAGATGCATGCAGTGTTTGTAAACACAATAAAAAGAGCATGGGTCTGTAAATTGCAAAGAGGCAGCATTTAGATACTACATGATACAATATCTGGCCAGGTTTCTGTAGTGTGCTCAGTCAAAATTTTAACACTACAATAAATAACACACCAAGCATCTGTAGAGACAATAAATTATAGCTGAACACATACGTGATAAAACATGCCTTCAAAATTGTGCGGTCACTGTAACCTGGTCAGTGGTAAATAACATAATTCCTGATTAGATTCAGTAGAAACTGGATATCCCACATCAGGAAATATGTTATATAACAGCTACTGATACTCATTAATCCTGTAACTGTTGAGTTGGAAAATGCTATTTCCATTATGCTTTAATTTATCATTAAATATACATTCTCTTGTGTAAATAAATCTGGGCCGGCTTGCTTATAGTATTCAGTTTGGGTGTCGGTTATAACGTCCTCGACAAGTCTAATTAAGACACCAGAAAGTTTGAAAGCATATATTTTTTATTGCACTGGAAGTCGTGAGACTTGCATTGTTGAGCGGCACTGGACGTACGGTAATCTCAAAGTAAGTTGTTACGTCTTCTGTATGTATTATTAAATAAGTTGCAATATACTTTATTAACCATTTGACCCAGTGCTTATAATTTCTCCTTCATTTGCCCTTAAAAAAGCAGTTATCTTATGATTTAGAGCTAGACTGCGATATCTGCGTCGTTTTGTTCAACACTTTCGATTCCAGCAAGCCCTTAGTTAGTCACTATTTATTACTTTATGTTTGGGGCAATGGGTCTGTACTTTTCCCCACCAAAAAATGGGGCCCAGAATCTGCACGGGGAGTGCATATAATTTTAACAGGTATATTTTTTGTTTTACATGTCCTAGCTATTATCTGCAAGCTCGCAAGGTTTTCTGATGGGCCTAGAGTAAACATTATCATTTCACTTGTCCTGTATAGGATAACGGGAAGATAGACGTCAGCATAGATGTAGGAGCTATTATATTAACTCTTTGAGTCAAAGGTTTTGTGCTGCTTAATTGCATGTTATCCTAAGAACATATTGTTTTAACTAACAAATGTTTGAGTCTGAAGCAGCTATAAAATAATAACATGAGAAAGAAGAATATAAAGCAACAGTTATGGCAAAGTAAGTGTAACATAATTATTGGATGGGGGGGGGGGGGGGGAGCAGAAGGTTAAGAATAGTACATGATTTATGAGAGCTCTAAACATGGTGAGTTGCTTGGAACTAAATGAGTTAAGACATGTCAGCCTACATACTGATGTAAGCTAGAGACACACGAGGGGGTGTATGCTTGTATCAAATGAAGACTTTCTCTCACTTACTGATGGTTTTTTATAAATATATAACAGTTCCCCATATTTATTTTTTTCTCTCTTTTTGTTTGCCTCATAGGTCAGATGATGAGGTAAAAGAAGTAAAACAAGCAAACACAAAGGAAGTGGCCCAAACAATTGTTTTTGGGAAAGAGGCTGCCATTGCAGCAGAAATTCAGGCGGCTCAGCATAGGTCTGTTGTTTCAATAGAAGTCAGGATTAAGCAGTTCAAAGAGCTGCTGGCTGAAAAGGATGTGAGTATTGACTTATATGTGAGTATTGACTTGTGTGTGAGCATTGACTTGTATGTGAGTATTGACTTGTGTGTGAGTATTGACTTGTATGTGAGTATTGACTTGTATGTGAGTATTGACTTGTATGTGAGTATTGGATTGTGTGTGAGTATTGACTTGTATGTGAGTATTGACTTGTGTGTGAGTATTGACTTGTATGTGAGTATTGACTTGTATGTGAGTATTGACTTGTATGTGAGTATTGACTTGTATGTGAGTATTGACTTGTATGTGAGTATTGACTTGTTTGTGAGTATTGACTTGTTTGTGAGTATTGACTTGTATGTGAGCATTGACTTGTATGTGAGTATTGACTTGTGTGTGAGCATTGACTTGTGTGTGAGTATTGACTTGTGTGTGAGCATTGACTTGTATGTGAGTATTGACTTGTATGTGAGCATTGACTTGTGTGTGAGTATTGACTTGTGTGTGAGCATTGACTTGTGTGTGAGTATTGACTTGTATGTGAGTATTGACTTGTATGTGAGTATTGACTTGTGTGTGAGTATTGACTTGTGTGTGAGCATTGACTTGTGTGTGAGTATTCACTTGTATGTGAGTATTCACTTGTATGTGAGTATTGACTTGTATGTGAGTATTGACTTGTATGCGAGTATTGACTTGTGTGTGAGTATTGACTTGTGTGTGAGTATTGACTTGTGTGTGAGTATTGACTTGTGTGTGAGTATTGACTTGTGTGTGAGCATTGACTATGTGTGAGTATTGACTTGTGTGTGAGTATTGACTTGTGTGTGAGTATTGACTTGTGTGTGAGCATTGACTTGTATGTGAGCATTGACTTGTATGTGAGTATTGACTTGTATGTGAGTATTGACTTGTATGTGAGTATTGACTTGTATGTGAGCATTGACTTGTGTGTGAGTATTGACTTGTATGTGAGTATTGACTTGTATGTGAGCATTGACTTGTATGTGAGCATTGACTTGTATGTGAGCATTGACTTGTATGTGAGCATTGACTTGTATGTGAGCATTGATTTGTATGTGAGTATTGACTTGTATGTGAGTATTGACTTGTATGTGAGCATTGACTTGTGTGTGAGTATTGACTTGTGTGTGAGCATTGACTTGTGTGTGAGTATTGACTTGTATGTGAGTATTGACTTGTATGTGAGTATTGACTTGTGTGTGAGTATTGACTTGTGTGTGAGCATTGACTTGTGTGTGAGTATTGACTTGTGTGTGAGTATTGACTTGTGTGTGAGCATTGACTTGTGTGTGAGTATTGACTTGTGTGTGAGTATTGACTTGTGTGTGAGCATTGACTTGTGTGTGAGTATTGACTTGTGTGTGAGTATTGACTTGTGTGTGAGCATTGACTTGTGTGTGAGTATTGACTTGTGTGTGAGTATTGACTTGTGTGTGAGCATTGACTTGTGTGTGAGCATTGACTTGTGTGTGAGTATTGACTTGTGTGTGAGTATTGACTTGTGTGTGAGCATTGACTTGTATGTGAGTATTGACTTGTATGTGAGTATTGACTTGTGTGTGAGTATTGACTTGTGTGTGAGTATTGACTTGTGTGTGAGTATTGACTTGTATGTGAGTATTGACTTGTATGTGAATATTGACTTGTATGTGAGTATTGACTTGTATGTGTGTATTGACTTGTATGTGAGTATTGACTTGTATGTTAGATTTATCTGCTGTAGTGTATTTAATTGTGCTCAGCTGAACTTATTAATTTTTTAACCAGTACCTGAGTGTTGACTTTTATGTGAGTATTGACTTGTATGTGAGAAATGACTTGTATGTGAGTATTGACTTGTATGTGAGTATTGACTTGTATGTGAGTATTGACTTGTATGTGAGAAATGACTTGTATGTGAGTATTGACTTGTATGTGAGAAATGACTTGTATGTGAGTATTGACTTGTATGTGAATATTGACCTTTATGCGAGTATTGACCTGCATGTGAGTGCTGACTTGTTTGTGTGTATTTGTGAATATTGACTTGTATGGGTGTATTGACTTGTATGTGAGTATTGGCTTGTATATTAGATTTATCTGCTGTAGTCTATTTAAATGTGCTCAGCTGAACTTATTCATTTCTTGTGTGATGTTGTAGAAAAATGTTCAAACGTGAATCTAGAAATTTAAAAATGTAAATATGAATGGTTAGAATATTGAGGACATTTTTAGTCACAGTATACACATAGCTTTGTGCAGTTGTCTAATTTTCAACAATATGTGATTTTGTTAATCTCTCAAATTTATGTCAGAGCTTGAAAATTTTATTTATGGTTACAATGTATGTGTAAGTATAACTTCAGTTGAAACATTTTCAGTATAACTAGTAATAGCATTGTCTGTTTTTTTTTTTCATCGCTTATACTTGATGTGTGTATAGAATATATATAAAGTAAACCTTTGTTTGATTAATGACAGCTGATTACTTTATAAAGAGGGCTGGCGATTTTGTTTGTTTGTTAGCTCAAAACCTGTAAACCTCATTTTGAGCATTTTAGGAGTTTGTCCACATGGTATAGGGACATAAATTGTGACGGAGAGTTTTTTTCCCTACTGTTGACTTAAAGAACATAACAACTTAATGAGCACTAGATCTTTGTCACAAATATCTATATTTTCCACATAAGTTGTAATTTATTCAATTTAAGGAAAATAAAACTAACATATGAATTTATTGATTTCTTCTGTGTAAAGATTGCACCAACTTGATAATACATATTTATTTTATCATGTTTTTGTATAAATGGCACGTGGACTGTACCCAAAAAAATATAACGTACATTCTTTATCAGAGGGTTCAGTTTGCACCTCATGAAGTGCATATATGTTCTGTTTCATTGCGTTATGTACCACTGTACATATGCCACACTATTTTGCTGAGCACAGAACACTTCTTTGTTCTTTTGTCAAAGGTTTCTGCACATTCCACATGGAAGAAGGAGTTGCATAAGATTGTCTTTGACAAGCGCTATTTGCTTCTAACTTCTCGAGAACGCAAACAGGTGTTTGAGGAGTATTTGAAGGAGAAAGCTGAAGAAGAACGCCATGAAAAAAGTAGGAAGCTCAAAGAGAAGGCAGATTTGTTCAGGCAGTTGCTTGAAGAAAGTGACTTGAATGTGAAGTAAGTAACAAGTTTTTGTATTTTCTACTCTTCTAATGTAAGTATTGAGTATATAGGACTATTTAAATTATTGTAGGCAGTACTGGGAGTCTCCATGGCGAAGTGGTCAAGCCATTTGTCTTATGCTGTGAATGTTTTGGGTTCGTTTCTTAGCTACGTTGTTGATTCACTAGTGCAATTTTTACAGAGCTCAAACAGCTGTTATACTTTTATAAATCACAGGTCGCAGTTAAAACAAAACGATCCCTGGATCGCTCTCACATTGTAATGATAATGAGTGGATTATATGGTGAACAAACGGCCATCACAGATTCATCTGCCCCATTCTTGAATTTGTGGTTATTCTGTCTAAAGGTCGGACGGAAGCAAACATACTGAGGAATTAGCCTTAGCCTGTGTGCTGAATGAAATATCACTGTGCCGTAGACAGAAAAAGGAAGTAGTAATACAGTGATGATAAATGGTGAACAAACAAATTAACAGATGGAAGTTTTACCAATGTTACAAACTTATTCCTGGATCTCAGAACATTTTTATAAAAGTTAGTTGCATGTCGTTACAGGACATTGCAGAATCAACTGCAACATTTTGTTGTTGTTGCTGTTGTGGTTTCTCTTGGCAAATATACACTCAGAAGTTGCCATTGCTTTCTGAAAGTTCAGCTCTCCATACCACTGTAGAAACAAACACCAGACGGTCAGCTGCCAAATTGCCTGCGGCTGAGATGAAACCCGCAACGCCTAAGCCACAGATGCCGACCCCAAAATATTACCCAGGCTATAAACACAGATAATAAATACATTTTTTATCACAAACTGATCAGTCACACATGAAAGAAGCAGTTAGCAATAGATGAGATTGTCTATTATACTTGCTCCATTTGGTTAATTATATTTCCTACTTGTTCTTTATATAGAATAGCAGAGAAAATGTATGGGCTAAAATATACCTTAGTTATATGTATCTGGTCAGTAAGACCTGTTAATATTGTTGGTTTGTTTGTTTGCTTTATGTGTGCGTGAGCAACAGGCAGACTGCAGACAAAATAATAAACATGTTTAGCATCATATGTAACCCTGGATTTGAAGAAAGCAGCAGTGTTATGTTTCAGAATAATTCACTTTTGTTTTCTGTTGTGCCAAAAATTAAGCTTTCGCATCATAATCAGCTGGGGAGAATATTTGTTGAAGGATATTTTCGATCAACAGGATAGCTTCAATACTTTATACATCACTGCAAATTTTACAAGCATACTGCGGTAATAGGGAAGTTTTACACCCTCATTTCAGTTTCCAGAATACAGTTTCAAGGCAGGTCAGACTTTTAAAAATCATGCAGCCTTTGTATAATCTGATGTTGTTAAATCTGTAATGCATTCTTTGCAGTAGTTATAACACTTGTATTTTGTTAATTGCATTATACATTTTGTTTTAATTTTTGTAATAGTTTAACTTGTGGTTAGCATAATTTTTTAAATTAATATTGTAAACAATGCATCTGTTAATGATACCTGAGTAGATTTGGTCTATTATTTTGTTACTGTTTGAAGACTTGGTGTTTTTTTTTTTATTTGCCTAGTACTATATTTTATTTTTAAGGTGATAGCTCTTCAGTACAAGAGTATACAGTGCTGAATTGAGATATTTAGTTATTATATTGATTGTTCATTAGCTTAAAGTTTGCTACAGGAAAACTTTAAAATCATTTGCAAGTTGGCATCTGCCAGTTAGCAGTGTCACTGATGTTCTCTTTAAGTAAATAGTCTTTTATTAGCACAATGTCTTGCATGAAACATAGTGTTGATATTTTTGGCCTCTTTTGTTTTTAATATTGTTTTTGTGGCTTCCATCTAGAGTGCTTAAAAGATTCACCATTTAGTCTCTTTGTGAGTTAAGAAAATGAATATACATTTTGTCATGTATTTGGTTTAGATGTCGTATCCTAACCATTCTGTCCTGCATTTTTCAACCAGGTCTTCATTTCACCATTTTGCTGTGAGACACTCAATGGATAATCGCTTCAGATCGATTGACAAGATGCAGGACAGAGAAGCTATGTTTCTAGAATACATCCAAGAGCTTGTCAAGCGGGAAAAACAAGAGAATGCTTTAATTAAAGAGAAGGTATTTTGCGCGAATTATTCTGTACTAACTATAGGCTATAAGTCTTCAGGAAATTATGTCAGGTGGTTAACTGCTTGTTGTTGCTGTTTTGTGTGTGTGTGATCACATTTATTGCAGATGAATACTTTATCAACTCTTTCAGTATCATGCAGATATCTTCTTCTTCTTTGCGTTTACTGGTTGTAAGCTTCGGCGGAAGGTTCTGGTTATATGCCAACTTCTAGACTTTAATCTTGTTATAGAACTTGAGTTGTCTGCACGTCGTTTTACAGATCTGGCTTATTTTTAAGCAGACTGTTGGTTCCACATATCTCACAGATACACTTTGGTGACTATTGGGTCTCCCCCCCCTGCCCCCCCCCCCCCCACTAGCATGGGATCCCGGAACCCACACTGGTTCCACAGGAATATTTGAACTTACTCTCCTAGAAAGCTTTTACTTAAAGTTATAAATATTTGAGTCAGAGTGGCTTAGAAAAATATAACTTTAAGAGGTTAGTGGTTGAGGCAATAATTGGAACAGTGTGGGTTAGCATGACAACTGGATGTGGCATGAGAAGTAAAGTGTATAATGAACGTAGAAATTAACACATTTATGGTGTGTTACCTGTTACTGAATGGCTTAAATGCTCAAGGTAAGTTTCTTTACGTTCAAATTATAATATAAGCAACACCTTACCTAATAAGCCTACTTCTTTCAATGTCCAATGATCCAGGGATATTTAATGTTTACATGGTTTTCCAAGTTTTTCAGCATCATCTGAGAAAGTTAGTTTCTGATCTGTGACCCCAGGTCAGTGGACTAAGACAGGCTGCTGTTGACTTAATGTTAATTGGTGATTAACAAATGATGTTGTGTGCTTGATTAGTCATTTTAAAAACATGAGTGAGCTGCTTAGCTCTTATTAATGACAAGACTGTTTCCTAATTAGAAGGCACACTCCTGTGTTTCCTAACTAGAGGGCACTCCAGGGCCTCTGTTATACTTTTAAGTAAATCTGAAATATTAGAAGACAGCTAAGTTTAGAATTCATTGTTAGGGTTAGAAAAATAATCTGGTGCCTTTGTAAACTACTTACCTGTTAATAATGACAGTTGGGATTCGACGCTGTGTTAGCGGCTAGACACATGCCTGTGGATCGGAAGGTGTTGGTTTCAGATCCAGGCACAGCTGGACTGTTTTTCAGTAGTTATCAGGTTCAGTCCTGGGAAGTAAAGATGGCCAAAGTGATGCTGAGCACATCACCCACCAAGTGCCCATTTGTCTTTTAACATATAGGTCTAGCTGTATGTGCCCAGTACGCCTAAAGGCCTGGAAAAGGGTCCTTTACTTTGTTTTAAATTTTATGACAGTTGTTATAGATACGTGATTGTCTTGGACTCTTTTTTTCTCCAACTTTCTGACTATTATTCCAGGTGTGAGATTTCCTAATAATAAATACATTTCCAGTTTACAGGTGACAAGTTTTTTTTTTTCCTAGATAAAAAATATGTGTGGATGTTTTCGTTCTGCTTACACCCTTAAAAGGGTGGTTGGCACATTGTCTTGTGGTTTGGTAGGCTGCAGTATCTGCATCTAATGAAATAAATCATTTTTTTTTCATTCTGCTCAGTATTTTCTCAACTGTGATATATTCTAACTTCGTGCCTAAACGACAGTTTGTGCTACTATAGTGTCGAAGGATCATTCCGATCTTGCTACCAAAGAGATCACAGGTAAATAGGACATTAGAAACCACTGGTATGTCTATCAGTGTGCAACCCTGTGATGGAATACAAGCTACTTCTGAACTGAAGACAAGACTTTTCAGTTACCCACCTCCATTGGGATATTGCAGGCCAGAGTATTTTAACATTTTTAGAAAATGTGCCGTTGTGCTTAGAAAACGTTTCTTACATTTCTGTTTATGCTCGGTGAAGCCAAAAATCATACATATTAGGTTAACCGGACACATAAGACATTTATCGGTATTAAAATTAGGGAAGACATATTCCGTGGACCAGGAGTAGAGTCAGAGGTAATCACTTTTATGTATTAATGATTGATTTATATGATTAACTGTCATATCTTTGCTGTCTCAGATATCATGTTAAACTTTTGACTGGAAGGTTGTAGATATAGCGTGCAGTATAATTTATTTAGTTTTTCTTCAAATTACAGTTTCCTCTTTAAAAATGTTACAGCACATTTTATATTGTTAGTTACCTATGTGATGAATTATCTGTGCACATAGTTTTCATTAGTTGGTAACACAGCTAAAGGCAGGTTTTTTTTTTTTAAGATCAGGGGCAGGTTTTATCTTTAGCATAATGGTGTTTTGTACTTGTTGTTAAATAAAGCAGTATTAAATGTGTGAAAAATAGAAAAGTATACAGTATCTTTGTCTTCATATGCTATAAAATGTGTGTATTAAAATTGTAATATCAGTTACATATTATGTGCATCTGTATGCATGTGACCAGAAGTTACTTGTGAATGAGTTGTGTCTTGGTGGTTGAGGCATACACGGCTGCTATGGACTAGCTTGCAGGAGCACTATCTACAGATGAAAAATGAAAAAAATCTGCAACTAGGCTAGTGTGTCAGCAAGTGCTTGAGGTCATCAAATGTGTCCACCAAGACGCACAATTATTACAGTTTTGCTGTAAAAGAGTACTTTGGAGAGAAAAAACAATCATATAGGAAGAAGAAGAACAGCCAGTGCTTATCACCACCATTTTGGAAGTTTTTGATTGTGACAAGTTTTCTGCATGACCAGAGCCTGCACTTTCTCAAAGATCATTTATGTCAGCTTGTTGATTACCTACAGGAACATGATCTAGTCTCCACTAGTCTACTTAAATTGTGTGATGCTCATTTCATCACAGCCTGTAGCATGTTCAACCTTTTTTTTTTTTAAGATGGTTTCCACTTGAGCATTGCCATGTTTTTTTTTTGTGTGTGTGCAGAATTTGCGCCACACTGCCACTTAAATCATTTTTTTGTGGCAGATAAAAAATGCGTCTTGCAGGTAAGGACAGTTTAGCCACACACATGAAAGACCTCAAGACCTTTTCCACTTGAGTTCATCTTTCATGTTTGTCTGAGGAAAATCAACACAGTGTTTTACAGACTGCATTTCACATTGTCTGGGATCTCAGATTTGTTTAAAAAAATAAAAAATTTTTTTTATAAATATTAAAATTATTTTAAAATAATTATTTTGTCTGTTATGTAATTTAAACTATGTTTAACACAGAACAGTATTGACCTTTATCGCTAGACAATAATCAAATAATTTGGCCATGTAACAAGAGGTAGACCACCCAGAAATGGACTGACTAAACATTGGATACATTGAAAAGTACTATATTGAACAGAAGGGCACGTTCTAGATATCTCTTTCTGCCCTGATGCTGCGAGGTATTCTCGGAGTAGAGAAAAGAAAAAGAAGGTGTTCAACCAGCTTCTTGGGCATTTTATAGTGACCTGTCATGTAGTAGGATTTTATGTGCAAAGCCATATCTCTTCATTATCTCTGTATAAAATATAGCATCATGTGTGGAAAATACTGAATAATATGAGGCTTGAGGTTAATGAGACCTTCTGAGATCAATTTGTCAGTTAATTACTGCTGTGTTGATTATTTTTTATTTAATACACTGCATTGTTTGCACATAGGTGTGCTGTGTTTTAAATTCAAATGAAATATAAATAAATGTTTAATAACAGTTTGATTAGTCTGAATAGACGTATGAAATTTGTGCTATAATTTGTTTATTCTTGAGCGTTTTGAACAGACTGTTCTGCCCAGTGAGAAAAGGGGGGTGATAACAGATTACATTTTGTTTTGTTTTTTGTTTTAAATTATGCGTGCTAGAGGTATGCAGAGATCCATACTGTACAGAATATTTAGAAATGCATGGAATTTTGTGTTGGTTGTTTAGATACATCTTATTAAATTACATTTTGTTTCAACCTTTTCTTTTAGGTGAGGAATGATTTCATGAATATGTTGAGTGAGATACCTGAAATCAGTCGCAGAACGCCTTGGAGGGATGTCAAATATAAGGTGATTTCAGATCCACGCTATGAGGCTGCAGTCACTGATTTTCGCCGAAAGAATTGGTTCGAGGAGTATGTGAAGTCTAAAACTGATGTAAGAGCACAGATTTTCACATGTTAATATTGCAATCAAAAGCTTAAATATTTTGGTCACATCTAGCGCCACAGCGGATTTGACAAAATAATAGCAGAAGGCGTTGTACCAGGAAGGGGAGGGGGCACCATGAAGTTGGGCACAGGATATATGTTGCTTCTTGAAAATGAAAGTGCCCAAGGCCAGAGAGCTGGCAGAGACTGAGGAGTTTCTTTCATGCAGAAAGAGAGAGAGATGTTCTGCAAAGGACCTGCTTCACGTTGATGGAAGTGGCATTGGAATAACCAGCACAGTTTCCTGTGAGCACTAGGATTGCTTTCATGTATTAACATTTGCACAGGAGCTCTAAAGTTTGCTGATTTGTCTGATGTTGTTGTTGTCTACATTTACTTTAAAAAAGGGGTCTTAACTTGCTGTGTTGTGGTTTATAGGGAGGGGGGTCCTCCATAAGGAGGCCCCTGAACCGACACTTATTTCTAATTTGTTTTTCATTGATAAAAACTGATTGAAGCATTCAGTTGAGATCATGTCAGTATTCTAACTAGCTGCTTGGTCTCATTTCATGTCAGTTTTCTAATGTGACGGGAGTCTTGCGTGAGGATCCGCAAAACCACACAGAGCGGTTAGCGCCCCAGTTAAGGTACAGAGTAACTCTTTATACACATCACATCGGCCTGAACTCTTTAAGGCCTGAGCAGTGCTGTGAGTGTTGATTAAGAAGTTCTGATTTGCCCCAAACAACACTGTCAGTGTTGATCATGTGTCCCATACATCTTGCTTTGCACATAGCCCTGTATTCATTTCTAATGTTTGGAACTACCATTAAAGTATTCAGGAAAGGTTACTCTAATGTTTTCCTTTAAATAAAAATCTGTGTTTCAACACACATGATCCAATTCATTGATAGCGTCATTTTCAACAGTGCATTTTCTGAGTTTCTGTTCAAGTGCCATGGATACCAACGTTCCAACCACAAGTACAGGATTCAGAGTGCGTCTTTCTGCGGCCGAAGCTCTGAAATTATTCAGTCTGATGTTTTTAATTGTGATAATGATAATTTAGATTGTTTTCAGAAAGTGATTCCGATGGTGAATTTATGCCAACAGCAGTTGAGCGGTCAGCTTTTGGGAAATATAATTCTAGTAGTTCTGATGAGTTTGACACAGAGAATGTTCCATTGATACTATCTTTAGAGTGTAAGAGAAGGGAAATGCTCCAGAAAAAAATTTAGAAAGAAAGTACCATACTATGGTTAAGCTACATTGAAATTATTGCAGCTAAAGTGTATATAACTGTACAAAGTAAATACTGTGTGTGTAATTTTCCACTTTTCTGCCATTTTTTCCTTTAAAATTTTGTTCAGCACTCTGTGAGAAATTAGAGCCTCTGAGTGAATTTAACCCAGAAACTTATCATAACTTTGGAAATTGAACACACTTTAAATGTTATTCTCAAATTTGGGTATTCGCTGCTCTTGTGGCCGCAGAACCTTGGAAAGTGAAGAATTTTTTGTCAAATTTTGTTGTGAAATTAACATCTGCTGAATGTTCTTTCCTTTTAGTTGTAACAGTTTTAACTATACACTGATCATCAGACTCACAATGTACATTCATTTCTTTTTGAAATAATATGTACTTTTATAGTGTTTAGAAGTATATTATATTTTCTATTGCCTTTTTTGTACACCACCCCCTCTGCCATTTTTGGAAAGAAAAATTAATGTGAGCCAAGTCTGTCAAAATTCATGGGCCTGAAAGAGTTAACATTACCTCACGCTTGTGACCGAAATCACCGCCCCACGGGTCTGGTAAATTACAAAAGTATTTTTTTTAAAGCGACCTAATTGGTTTATTAGTTCCATTCAGCTTATGTATTACATGAAAATGTGCAGTTCAAAAGTGTTTCATGTTTAACAGTTCCATTATCTTGAAGACATTGTATCATTATAAGAATACCCCAAGGTTGATATGCTTACATAGGAAACAAGTATAAATTAGAGGACACACATTGTAGTGATTTTAAATCATTATTATGCGTTTAAGGCAGGGCATAAACATTATTTTTGTTTTATGTCTTTTGAGAGCTGCCATGATGTAGGTGGCTAGATGCTTGCTTGTGGCTCCAAAGGTCGTGTGTTCAAGTCCTGACGGAGCCTGACTTTTTTGCAAAAATGACCTTGGCTGCCACATTGACCTAGCCTTAAATGGCTACGAGGTAAAAGTCTCCACAGTGATGCTGACCACATCACCCACCAAGTGCTGATTGTTCTATAAAATACAGGTCTTTCCCAATACGCCTGAAGGTATAGAAAAGGAACCTTTACTTCTTACTTTTATTATGTCTTAATTTTATTCTTCAAGCTTACATCTAACGAGACAAAGAAAAATGAAGAACACAGCAAAAGATCGCATTCATCCTCAGTAAGGGAGAAAGAAGAAAGGGAAGGCCGTAGAGAGTCAGCTCTTGAGGACTTCAAAAAGTTTCTTGATGAGAAAGTAAATTATTCATTTATTTCTAGATTATATGTAATGTCATTACAGAGGAATGCTACACATTGAATGTTCACTATTTAAATTCTGCTTTTCAGTTGTACCATTTTCTGGGACCGTTGTCACTGACACACTGAATAAATTGAGCGTGATTCTAGTGTGAAACTAAACATTATTAATTTATCAGTATCCTTATCTGAATAAAGCACCTGTTGGATGTGATACAATGATACAAAATAGTTTTATATTGAAACTTTTCCTTTCTTCTTTCCTTTATCCCCCCACCTTTTCCCCAATGGGGCATAGGACTGACCTGGTGTTTCTGTTCTTTGCTTGCAGCTGATCCCATGTCCTCTCCCATCTTTTTCACCTCAATCTCTAATTCTCTTCTCATATTTGTTTAAAGTTGTGTCTTTGTCTCTCTTTTGTATTCCAGTGCAGTGACACAGTTCTCTCCCGAAGTTTCTCACCAGATTTATTCATTCTGTTTAATTTCTTCGGTTCACCACACCCACTAGTTAATGAATGTTTGTGTTTTATTAATAATTGTTTTAGTCATTTTCAATTTTTCCCTTAATATACAACAGTACTGTTGTTTTAGTTTAACAAATTTGATCCCAGGTTTGGTTTCCAATGGCTTCCTTAATTTTCTGCATGCTATAAAAGCTCCACAAGCCAAATTGTTTTTTTTTGTGTTAAATTTATTTGTATATCTCTGTTACTACCACCATTTATGTCTGCTTTGCTGTCTTAATGTGTGTCTCCATATCTCAGAGTGAGGTTTCCTCAAATAAGACTTGTTTGCCTGGTTAATTATCTTTTTCTGTTATCTTTTTATTATTAGATCTAATTGCTGTGAAGTCTTATTTATATTTAGTTTATCTTTTATCTGATTTCCTGAGTGGTGCAGGTGGAAAATCCAGTAAAGTTTGGTCTTCTACATTTTGGACTCCCAATTTAAAGACATTTACACTTGTAGAAGTTATTGTTGAAGACTTTTTTCGCCATGCGAACTCCGGGGCCCTATTTTAGGGAAATCAATAATAGACCCACTGCCTTCCCAAAAGCATGTCGTAAGAGTTGACTAATTGGGAGCTTCCTTGGAAGTCGGAGTGCATCAGTCTGAGAGGCAAGGAACCAACAATCTGCATACAAATTAGTCAGATCTGTCAGACAGATATACATGCAACACTCAGGTTCTGGAACAGGACTGCAATCCAGAAGTGGACGAATAACCAGAACCTTCCGCCTGGGTTTACACCAGTGAACTCAAAGAAGAAGATAATGAAGAGAAAAAATGTTTAATGAGTACAGAAATTATTTCCTTTGTAATAGGAACTTTAAGGGTTCTTTTAGTCTTTCGTAACTAAATCAATAATTATATAATTTATTTAGCTTGTTTTTTTGTTTTGTTTATACATCATTAAAACAATTTAATTTTATAACAATAAACATTTGCAGGTAACAGATACTGAAGATTCGTTTACTGATTTCAAATCAAAATTTGAAACGAATGCCAGAGGGACAGCGGACCTGTCTCTTGCAGAAAAGTTGAAGGTCTATAGCAGTCATATTGATGGAATTTACAAAAAGAATAGAGAAATCTTGTGGTCAATTTTAGATGGAATTGATGTAAGATTTGATTATTTATAACCATCGTTCATGTTTTTGTAATTCAGAGTCATTAGTTTTTAAATTCATTACCCCGAATCTCATCTTTTTCTTTGTATTTTAGAAAGAAGTATGATGTGGAAATAGAATAAGAGACAAATAAGTTTCGGGGGGGGGGGGGGGGGGGGGGGGGGGATTAGAAACTGAGTTGTAAACCCTTTAGCTCGGTGTGTGTGTGTGTTGTCCATCAAGATGATAATGACCATTCTTTTTCATCAAGTATGAGTACGAAGATGACTGATGAGGCCGATACGGGCCCGAAAAGTTCTTGGACAGTGAGGACAGGGAATGAGTGTTGTGCCAAGGAGGGAATCTCCTGCAGTCACCTTTCTGTCCATCCTTTTCTTAATTAGTCTTGCTTTTCTGTTTGCTTCACATGTAGCCGCGCCCTTGTGTAGAGTTGCACGCCATGCATTTCTGTCTTGAGAGGCAGCCTCCCAATTGATGTCATTCATCCCAAATGCTTTGAGCGAAGACTCGGTACTATGGATATCGCAGATCTGTGGCCTTGATTTCAATGATAAATGCCGTAAATCTGGGAAATATATGGCCTTTCTGCCATATTTTATGATTTTCAAGCTTGTTCTCTCCTCTTGAAAAAAAAAAAAATTTGATTTCAACTGTGGGTTGTATTCATCCAGCAGCAATCAACTGTCACGCTTCAGTGCAACATGATTGTTTAACTTTTCCTTTTTTATGCTTCCCTATTGTGATTTTCTTTGTTATTAATATATAGTTTCAGAACAGGATAAATGTCCATGCTGTAGGTACTTAGGAAATAGCTGAGTTAAGCAATAATGTGAATATTACAGGCAGTCATGATGCTGGGAATAATCTAATATCAATGTTGACACCTTCTATTTGTAGCTTTCATTGACAACTGTATGGGACACAGTCAAAGCACAAGTTGAAGCGGACCCAAGATTTGTCAGTTATACTGATAATGAAAAGGTAAGTTATAAGTTGGATTATTATCACATCACATCCATGTTCTCATATTTTCTGCTCAACATTTATATGAGCGTTGAATGGCAAGTAGTGTCAGTTCTGTGCTAGTTAACCAGACTTCTAGTATGTCTGGTGTGCCTCTCTTGAGTATCTGTGGCAAGTTAAGTAGCTAAAACAGTAGTATAAGTAACCAACGTAATTGCATATCATTCTTACAATGTTTTGACTAATAATAAGTTCAATGTATAATAAAGAAATTGTTTAATTTTATTTCCCTAATATAGCCAGAACATTTTTTGGTTCATTGGTGAACAACAAATTTGTGGTGTCTGGTGTGATGCTTTTAGAATGAAAATCCAGCTTTCCACCATGTTTCATTGTCTTTATCTGTTTTATTCAACAGCATTATTCGTTATGTTGTGTTAGTTTACAGCATAGCTATGACGGGCGCCACCTTGGTGTAGCAGCTAGAGGCTCAGAACCGGATTTATTGTTCTTGAAAAATTTTCCTGGCTCCCGTGTTGACCCAGCCTCGAGTGGGTACCAGATACAGTCATGCGAAGTAAAGATGGCCGGCATAATTTTGATCACACCATCAAGTGCCATCTAGTCTATAAAATATAGTGTTAGCGCTACATACCCAATACGCCTAAAGGCGTGGAAGCAGGTCCTTTTCTTTTTACTTATGATGATTCTTAAGCCTATTGTTTGTTTGTTACATTCATCTTAGCAGGGCATATATTATCTAGCTTAGAATGCTGTGGGTGTTAGGATATTTAATTGTAACAGTGTGGGAACATCATCTGCTTCTGGTTCATCTACAGATAAATATCCTCATACCCTTTGTGTTACTGGGGCCCTTAAGGAAAGCACAGAATAGTTACGACTACGCTTCGTTCCAAATATTTAGATTACCCAGTATGGCTGTATTTTTAGGTATTCCTCTGTAGAGCCACATCTGAGGGTGTACAGGATTGTTAGCTTTTTTTTTTTTTAACTGAGTGTCCAGTTTGCCACTATGATCAGACTGCAAGTACAGCAAGTTGAAAGTTGTGAGGCCAAACAAGAGCTCTGTGCAAGAAGCCAAAAAAAAAAAAGAATAATCCAACACAGAACTGGTGTTATCAGCTGTTATACGCTGCAGAATTGACTAAGGTGTCTGAGCACTTATGGGCTGAATAGTTCTTGCCCTGAGCAAGGTCTGTCGACTAACGTCAATTAGTGTCCAGGTTTCAAAGCAATGTTTTAAAACTGCGACAGTAACAAGGATTTTTAGCAAGCAGTTAGAATTGTATAAATCAGGGCACTAACGTGATAACATATTGTTGAATAAATTATCTTCACAAATGGATGTCTAAAAATAAGTATTGCAGGGAATTACTAAGACTTTTCATAAAAACATCAGACCCGTTTAAAAAAACAAACAAGATAAAATAATAGCTTTTTTTGGTAGAACTTTAAGATCTTATTTTTCTATTTGTGATTTGTATTCTTTGTTAACTAGAAACGTGACAGGGATTATGCCATGTTTATGCACAAGAAGTTTTTGAAGGCCAAGAAAGAATTTCGAGAACTGCTAATGGAGACAAAAAACATTACACATGAGTAAGTGATTTATAACCATTTGCTTGGAAGTCATAGTGAGCCAATGTAATCTGTCATTGTTATCATAACAGTGGACATTTGTATTCATTGATTAACTAGATTCAACATATAACACTCTAGAGGCATCCATATGTGCTGTGTCTCCTGATAACAGAATGTAGGAATTCAGATTGCTTATGGCTTCTGTGGTGAACCTATTGTGAAAACACCTACCCTGTCCTGTGATCATATCTGCTACTGCCATAAATCTCAGCTACTGTATTTGTCAGTGTATAAGACACTTCCTTGTCTAAGACACCCCCCCCCCCCCCCAAATTGAAATAAATGTTCTCCCCATGTGTGAGTTCCGGGGCTGGGAAAACAAGAACAGACCCACTGCCTCCCTAACAAGCATGTCATAGGAGTAGACTAATTGGGGAGATCCTTCAGAATTGGATTGCATCTGCCGAAAGGTAAGGAACCAAGAGTCAGTATATAAATAAGCCAGATCTATCAAATGAATGTTCAAGCAACACTCAGGCTCTGGAACAGCACACTTCCGGAGGTGGATTAACAGCCAGAACTTTCTGCTGGAGTTTACAGCTAGTGAACATGAAGAAAAAGAAAGAAATTTTCTATTTAAAAAAACTCATATTTTCCCATTTAGAACATCTGCTGAGACAGCCACTGCCTTATGGTTTGTTCCTCCCATCAGTGGAGGTCCCAAAAAAAATGTTCTATTACCTATTGCCATGTTCTTCAGCATATTTTATCACTTGGAATTTAAAATGCATGGTGTAGGAGTGCTGCTTGCCATCTTTTCCCATATCGGAATTGTGATCGCGTAAACAGACCTGTGAACATTTCTCCCCACGGACTCATTCATGATCACAACGTTATCGCTCAATTATGGGAAATTTCAAGATCTTAGAAGGAAAAAACTAAAATGCAGGAAACTGAAAAATAATAGTGCATTTAGGCCTGTTTTCATTGTATGAGACGCAGCTTAATTTTACTGCCTATTTTGGGAACTAGAAAAGTACATCTTATACACTGACAATACACAAACAAATACAGTAGTTTCAGTTTCATTTTTCCACAAAAGTACCAGCTCAGAATGGTCTGACAAGGAAGAATAAACCTATACAGAATAGTACAATAAATAATATTAAACCCCCCCCCCCCCCTTCCCCTTTCCAGAAACACAGGGTGCTATTACTAATCACAAATTGTCTTAAAAAAAGATGCCCATACTCACTTCAAAGTGTGTGTTACAACAGCACTGAACAACTTATGCCTTAAAAAAGATGTCAGTCCTGCAAATAGTTGTGTACTGCTGAAAAAAAGCCTTATAGGTTTTTAGCTGATAAAGGCTTTCTGGCTGCAACATATTTTATTTTTTGTAATTATGTTTTATTGACAAGATGAATAGTTGTGCTTACCGTTTGAATAAAACATAATCTTTATCAGTACGCAGAACATCAAGAATAATATGATTATAATTTAAGAATTGGCAGCAAGTGATGACCGAAGAATTGATAAGTGATGGTTAAAGAATTGACAAGCAGTGACTGAAGAATTGATAACCAGTGATGACTGAAGAATTAACAAGTGATGACTGAAGAATTGATAACCAGTGATGACTGCAGAATTGACAAGTGATGACTGAAGAATGGATAACCAGTGATGACTGAAAAATTGACAAGTGATGACTGAACAATTGATAACCAGTGATGACTGAAGAATAGACAAGTGTTGACTGAAGAATTCATAACCAAAAATGACTGAAAAATTGACAAGTGAAGACTGAAGAATTGATAACAAGGGATGATTGAAGAGTTAGTGACTGTTGATGACTGCACAATTGACAAGCAGTGATGAGAGAAGCATTGACAGCCAGTAATGACTTGAGAATTGACAAGCAGCAGTCAAAATGTATGCTAAGATCATAGAAAAAAGGCTGAGACCATTGATAGAGTATCAACTTTCAGAAGCACAGATGGGCTTTCGACGAAACAGAAGTTGCACAGATGCCAATTATACATTGAGACAACTATGAGAGAGGGCAATAGAACATGATAAGACATGTTTGTTGACATTTATAGACCAAGAAAAAGCCTTCGATAGAGTCGACCGGAATATGTTGTGGGAATGTTTGGGGAAAAAAGGAATCAGCAGTCATCTCATTAATATTTGCAAAAGCCTGTACACATGTAGTAAATGCTGCATAAGATCGAAGGCAGGGTTGTCAAGAACTTTTATATTGAACTCTGGTGTGCGTCAGGGCTGTGTACTATCGCCGCTTCTTTTCATAACATGGATACCATATGTAGCGAAACGAACTTTAATCATGAAGAAGATATTATAGAATTACGACCAGGCACTCATAGCAGAAAATACAGAGTGCCTACAGAATCACTAAATCAAATTAGTAACAAAGGGGTGGAATATAATATGAAAATAAACACTACGAAGACAGAGACAATGATGATAGGAAGACATAAAGACAATTTAGAAATTAAAAAACAACACTCTGAAACAAACAGAGGAATTTTAGTATTTGGGAGCAATTTTTACATCTGACAGAAAACTGGACAGAGAAATTAGCTCCAGATGTGCCAAAGCTAATCAAGTAATGGGTCAACTTTCCCTGTTGACACAAGCAGATACCTCGGAGCACTAAAGTGAATCTTATCAGAACTATTTTTTTGGCCAACACTATGCTATCAATGCCAAACGTGGACACTCACATCCTCCAGTGAAAGTAAAATTGTGACAACAGAGATGAAATGCCTTAGAAGAGCTGCAGGAGTTTCAAGGTAAGACAGAATACGAAATCATGAAATCAGACGAATGCTAGGAATAAAGCCAGTCTTACAGGTCATCAAAGAACAACAAATGAAGTAGTCTGGACACCTAACAAGAATGCCCTGGTACTATCCGCCACAGCGAGCCACGCTAAAACGTTACAACGGGTATAGAGCGAGTGGAAGACCTCGTAAAATATGGAGTGATGGCATTAAGAACAGCCTTACAGAAATGAACATCAGTCTTAATAGTGCTCTCGACAGAGCTCATCAACGAACATTACATCTCCCCCCGACACTTTGATGAGGTACAAGGTGGAAGAGAAGAAGAAGAAGAAGAAGCAGTGACCCAAAAAAAAAATTGGTGGCTGGTGGTGACTGTAGAATTTAAAAGTGATAACTGAAGAATTTGTGACTAGTCACTGAGGAACTTGATACTTAAAAAAAAAAAAAAATGTGTGTGTGTACACACACGCATGCACGCGCGCACACACACACACACACACACAATGTGTGTGTAAGTTGTTTTAATAATTTTTTTTTTTTTCTTCATCTTTACAGAGCCAAAGCAATGCTGGAGAAAGGAAGCATTACCATGAAAACTATTGAAGCTTTTCTTCAGGTGAGTGTCATGTGATGTTTACTTGTGTTTTATTATCCTATTAATTCAGTGTTTTTCCCTCCAGTTTGTGATATTTCAGTATAAAGCATAGTAAATGTCACATGATGAAATTGTTTGCACCTGATTTTTGTTTTCTTTCACCAAGTAATATTACAGAACCGCCTGATTTTGTACACTTGGAAACTTCACCTATATAAACTTCTTGAGCTGGCGCTTCTAGATCAGATGTCAGTAACTCTTTGAGTCCCAAGGAACATATCATACAATTATAGGTTCCTACCTAGAAGCCCAGTGAACGCAAGATGTGCCAATTTTACATCTCTCTTGACTACACCTTGGGCTTCTGATGCAAAACCACCTTGGACTCAAAAAGTTTGAAGTTATCAAACCAAAAGAAATATGGAATAGTCGGCTTCACATTATCACAATCACAGACGACAAGTGAACATTGTGTTGAAAGCCCTCATCAGCGCATGATGTGAATAGACAGTGTTATAATCACAAAAAAAGAATCCACAAAATAACTGAGGCTTTGTGTTCCAAAAAAAAAAAACACCCACATGACTGTCTGGCCTCTTGAAGCTCTGAGGCACATGTGAATGCAGGAAATCTATACTGGCCAGAAAAAAAGGAAGGCTTTTCTTGTAGAAGTAGTAAGAAGTATGACACGGTGTGGAGAAAGCTCCAGAATTGGCGCCTGAAATGTTAGAACTTTGTACAATGTAGGAAAAACGATGGAAGTAAGTAAGGGAAATTAAACATTTGTAGAATTATTATGTTCCCAAAAAAAAAAAGACGTGAAAGACAAGCGGTAACTGACAAATATTAATGATGATGCTTTGGTGTACCCACAAGATAGACACCGGGAGCAGGTTGCTGAGGGTCCTCAAACAGAACTTGATTGCATAAGTAGATGGTGTGTTGAAGCGGAAGCAGTCGCCAGTGTGTAAAAGTAAACAGCGTCATTGTTTTTCGCTGAAAAATTATATTATACTGTGTTCGGAGATCATGGAGAAAACTTTAACAGTAAAGTACCCAGGAGTGTGGTTTGATCATAACCTTGTTTTTCATGGGCATTTAAACCATCTGATAGTGAAGGAAAGGGGAAGTTTGATGGGGCTAAGGATAATGGCTGCAGCAAACTGTGAGCAGCGCCACCTTGCTTTGTTAAAACCAGGTTCTGGTACTTTCTGTAATTGAGTATGCTCTGGCGATTCTGATTTGTAGCTGCACACAAATAAAGAGACTAGATTGGCTACAGAGTGAGGCATTGTGCACCATGATCTTCGAACCATGGAAGTAAGAACAGCGATGTGCCGTGCACATGCGTATCTACGCGTCAACGTCGATGGACACCATCCATTGCAGTTTGATTCACAGAAAGAAGGCTAGTAGGTTAAAGAGAATAAAATCTTGGATGGGTCAGGCGGAGGACATTATTTAACAGGTTTGTTCAGTTGAGGACATAAAATCTGGTGAGGAATGGATATGAGTACCAGCAGAGTGGTGTAATCCTTTTCAGTCTGCATAAAACTGGACAGAGACTGCAAACAACAAAATCCATTCGGTAGTTTGAGGTGGAAGTTCAAGCCTTAATTCTTGAGAATTCTACCGATGGAGGTGCAGTTATTTACACTGATTGATCTTTCCTTTGATGCATACAAAGTTCATGGACTTTCACAGATTCTTATTTGAGGGAGAATAGTACAAGAAGACAGCAGTGCTTTTGCCTTACTACAAGTAGCCTAACTATGGAGATGATGGTAACAAAAGCAATGATGTGGCTCAAAAGACAGTATTTTTCCCATTTGCACTTTTTAAGTGACTCCATAAGCATGCTTAAGAAGATCAAGACAGGATGGGTTCAGAGACAGTGGTTGAAGTCACTGAGGAAATCACGTCTGGCAGGAATCAGTTTTCTTTTTGTACCAGGGCGCTGTGGAGTAAGAAGGAAGAAACAAGCGGATTGGCTTGCTGGCAGGGCCTTGGTAGGTACAGGACAAGCAGTAGACCGGGCCTATGTTGTCAGTGCTCTCCAGGAGGTAGGGCGGGTAAATGATTTCGGAGACTACGCTGTGTCGACAACATTCAACAGGCTACAAGAACTTCAGGTCAAAAGAGGTATTGCCAGACATGAACACTAAACTGGCAGCCAAAGAAGAACAGTGAACCAACGTTGAACTGGTGTTATCAGTCGCCACATGTTGAGGGACAAACTGAAGATGGTATCTGAGCACTTATGGACTTGTCGGATGTGCAGTGAGGATAATCTATCGACTAACTAACTAACTTGTTGCACTGCAGCTCCTCCAGGAGAGGACAGATTCAGGAACACATTTTTTTTCTTCAGGAACATGTTTTTTTTTTTAAATAATGCAAAATACTAGGTTACTTACCATCTGTGCTGTTACTATCAGGTTTTGTTTGTTTGTATATCCACAGAAAGACCAGAGGTATACCACTCTTGACTGTGTGAGTGAACAAAGAGAACAGATGATTCGTGCCTACATCAATGAATTGAGTGAGAAAACGCAGCCATCTCTTACATGATTGATCTCCTCTTGCTCCAGTTTAAGAATCAAGAGACTCCAGCTTGTAGTGTGTTTAGTTATTGTTGTATTATTACAAATCTGGACTTGCCAGTTATTTTTTCTTTCTTTCTTGTTCACATAAAAATGTGTAAGGAGCTAGGACATGAATGCAGAGCAGTTTAAAATGGCTGTTGTAATTTTGCAGAAGTGCAGGAGCTAATAAATGTTTCTATTTTTATGGTAATTTTGGAGTTTGTATTTGTAATACATAATTGTTAATGCATGTGTTAACAAACACTAGAGCTCAGTTAGACCTAATATGAACACCATAGTTGTTTATATTATTGGATAAAGAATATGTCCTTTCTTTACAAAAAAGCAGTAGTAATCCTATTACCACAAGCAAAGTTTTAAATTTTCTGAAATTTACTCAGCACTGTCTGCAGTGGCAGCCGTGGTAGTGTAGCGAATATTTGATTGCCTGCTGACCCGAAGGTCTTGGCTTCAGATTCGCACAGAGGCGAAGTTATTTAAAAATTGACCTTGGCTTCAGGTTGACCCAGCTCTCAATAGGTACCAGGTAATGTCCTGGGAAGTAAAGGTGGCCAGTAGGATGTTGACATCACTCACCGACTTCCGATTTGTTTATAAAAATAGGAGTCATGCGTCATATGCCTGATGTAGGTGAAGTGGATCCTCAATTAACTATCTGTATTATTATTGATTTCCATTGTATACAGTATACAGGGTCAACTCAGCTTTGAGTGGTAGCAGGTACAGTCCTGAGAAGTAAAGGCAGCCGGCGTGATGCTGACCACATCGCTTACCAAGTGCCGTTTGGTCTATCAAATTTAGGTCTAGCTCATATAATCCCAATAGGCCTGAAGGCATGTAAAAGAGTTCTTTACTTCACTTATGGTATACAGGTAATGATGAAATTGTGCTCTGTGGTTTACCAGTCTGATAACAGCAATTGTAATGGGCCTATTGAAGTTGTGACAGTAAAATTAATGACAGGATTTATGTTGATTCAGAGAATGTCTGTCCCCTTTATTCAGAACTGTTGGAAACCTTTTACTATCATTACTTTTTTTTAAATAAAAGTAGCCACTGACAGTTTCATATGACTGGTTTTTTGGCCAAACTTTGTAAATATACTTAGTCTCAAAATAAGTAATCTTGTTTGTGCAGAATGAAGCTGGCTGGTTCAGTGAAAATGAAATACATAATAGTTTTAAGAAAATGTCTGCCCCTGTTGCCAAGCATTCTCTCACAAAAACACACATTTTCCCCGTTCTTAAATACTAAAGACATGTCATTGTTATAAAGACAGTCCACGTTATCAGTATATCCCTTTTTATATGCACATGACTAATGAAAACCTTTACAGACTCAGTACTTGACTTTTTTCCCTAGAATCCTGAAAACATTGTAATCCTGTTTTTCTGTTGGCATTCTTGAGTAGGAGAATGATTTTTTTTTTTTTGTCTATGAAAAACATCTACATTTTTATTTTGCATTTAAATGTTATCAAAATTGGATTTTTAAGATCATGTGACGTTACTGATATAAAATAAAGATGGTGTTTATTTTGACTGTCTTGTGAATTTTCCACTCAAATGTGCACAGTGTTGCAGTATTAGGGTTAGTTGTGTATCCTTTACAGGATGTTGCAGAACCAACCCCAATAGCCACTGGTTGTTGTGTGGTTTTTCTAGGCAAATTTACGTCCAGTAGTTTGCCATTGCTTTCTGGACGGTCGGCTTTCTTGATACCACTGTCGAAACCAACGCAAGGCACATGGCCCGCAGCTGGGATCAAACCCGGCATTACGAAGCGTTCGCATCGACTTAGCCACAGAGCCAACGTGTGGCAGTATACAAATATGATATTGTAGAAAGATACATGAAAGCGTGCTGAAATTACTTTAGACAACTAGAGGGAGTAATCTGATTGTTTTGACAAAAATAAAGAAAGACAAAGACACGCTAGCTAAAACACCAGGAGGAGGCACAAATCATTCTGAGAAGAAAATATGAAACATATTCTTTTAAATCTTACCTTAAAAGAGCAGTTGTTTACAACACCTGCCAAGTGCCGATTGGTCTATAAAACATAGATCTAGCACTATAGATCACTAAATATGAAAGGACAAAATTATTAATGCGGTTTTCATACCAGCCTTGTGCTACGAGTGTCAGACTTGTACATTGACTAAAGAACGAGAAAGACATTTAAACTCTGCAAAATGAGATGTTTGAAAAGGTTGTGACCAATACTAGAAGTGATCATTTGAGAAACGAGAAATCAAAAGAACTATTGGAAAAAAATATAATGAAATTCATAGAAAAACAAAGACCAGAATGGTTTGGCCTTTCACTAAAAATGAATCCAATGATGCCAGCAATGAGAGCATACAACATATAAGTAGAAACACCAATAGATGGGAGACGACCAAGAAGAATATGTATTGAAGGAGTCACCGATACTTGAGACTTCATAAATATCATCACAGAATACCGGGCAACCGAGGCAGATTAGGTGAGATGGACATTTAATCAGAATGTTACTGGCACCATTAGTATCGGAACTGTTCACTGACTACTGAAGATGGGGACAGAGCGCTAAGGGAATGCTCCGTGTGCTGTGATGTCGATTCTTTAATCAAATCAAACAGGACTAGATCTCCGATTCCGGTTCCTTTTAAGAAAAAATTTAAAGTTCGACTACTTTCAGACTGCTGCTAGCTAGCCGAGGCAGCTAACAGTCTCCGCCTATATTTGTGGTCTGGGTTATTTGCGCCACTTTTGTGACTAATTTCTAGTATTTGCGCTGTCTCTAGGCTTAATGCTTCCTTTCAATTTCTTTCCTTCTCTTTCTTGGTGTTTCTTCTTGGTTTAATCTCCTTCCGTTTTGGCCAGGTGTATTTCGTAGGGGAGCGAGCTTTTTTACACAACGTCCTTTGGACCACTATTTATAGTTTTAAAATTCTGAGTATTTTATTTGGCCAAAAAAGTACTGAAAACAGTTTTTGATTTTGGATAGTTCCAAAATGAGAAAATATTCCGCGTGTGACCATAGTGGTCTTATAGTTGTCTTCCTGCAATAAGAGCAGGTTATGTCGTGGATATGTGTGTAAAATGTTAGGTGGAGCCTCAAAGCAGTTCTATTCTTCATTTGTTATTGTGTGATTCGGTTTGGGTTGGCAGCTAGGGTCCTGTGTATGTAAATAGACTAGGTCTCATAGTGGTCAATACTTATCTAACCCTCTTCGAGATCATACAGAGAATAAGTTTTTTTAAACCTTGAAGGGTGTGGGGGGGGGGGGTGGGGGGGGGGCAGTGCTGGCAACATAGGGTTGATAGCATCGATTTTTCCTTTGGAGTGCACCTGCCTGAGAGGCCAGGAATCAACTAACTGCACATATGTTCAGTGAAGACGGCTTAAAGCGATCTCGGATGTTGTGAATTTCTGTTGTGCAAAGAACAATTTTTTGTTTATCCCGGACAATTTTTCTTGCTTAAACTGTTATCTGGATAAAATGAAATTCTTATAAGAAGAATCGTTTCTTAGGTCCCTGAGGAGTTCTCATTAGCAGGTCTACACTGTAAAAAATATATCCTTGGGAACACCTAAAGAACCTTGACCAAATCTAACTTGTCATGCATAAATTGACCTCTAACAGGATGTTCCTAAGGATGCATTCTTCAAGCATGAATTGAAGAACACCGATTTATATCATCCCCAAGAAAAATGCTGAATACTTTCAACAACGCGCTGTATAAGACACTTGCTATATCATGGCGAGATTTGTCTCCAGCGAATGTAAGCAGAAGAGCAGGAATGCCAACAATGTACTCGCTACCTAGGCAAAGACATTGTGCTGGCTGGGACAAGTCTCCCTTATGGCGAATGGACGCATTCAAAGGATCTTCTGTTTAGTAAACTGGACACAGGATAAGATCTACAAGAAGGCCAATGCTACGCACATGCTAACTTGAATTGAAGATCCGCTGCAGACTCTTGTGGAGGCAGATAGTGAAAGATCGACTGTCGCGGTTTGTAAGAGGCCAAACGCAAGAGGCTATAGAGAGGAGGCGTCTGAGAATAAACGAGCCTGATTATAAACAAATGAATCAGTGAATGAAGAAATGACATCATTACACTCAGGGCATTCATAGACGTGCCCCGTCACCTTCTTCAATAACCAAGGAAGAGTTGACGTGTTATTAGTACTGATTGCAACCTGATTAAAAGTTATCCTCCGTTAATGTTTAATATAACCCAGAACCTCTACTCAACCCTCCCCCATTGAATTAGTGTAGGGATTGCCTATCTGTTCTTTTTCATCGTACATTATATAAAGAGTAGCAAGATTTTTTTGTGGACGAGACTTTTATTCCCGTATCGGACTGTACAGTCATAGCAGACGCCGTTCCCAAATCCAGGCTGGTGGTTGCCTACATCCAGTTTCATAAAGCCTGTAGTCCTGTACTAAAAACAACATAAAAGATGACTAGAAAGCTAAATGGAGGGAATGGAAAAGACGCACACGTATACAACCGAACGTTTCGATCAAAGTTTTTTTTAACGGAGTACTGAATATACAACAGACTGGAAAGCTCAATGGACAAAAGAACATAGTTTCTAAAATCCCAAGGATCTATCTAATATAATATAATCAGTCTGTCTGTATGCATACGTGTCTACCTGTGCGTTTGCGGGTGCGTCTCTTTGTGTCTGTGGGTGTGTATCTATGTATGTGTGTTTGTTTGTGTGTGTGCGTGTATGACTGTGTATGTGTCTACATGTGTATCTGTGTGTATGTGTCTGCATGTGCCTGTGAATTTGTCTGTGTGTTCTACGTGTATGCGGCTGTGTGTGTGTCTTTGTGTGTGTGTGTGTGTGTGTGTTTGTATGTGCCTGTGTGTATATATGTGTTGGTGTGAATGCCTGTGTATACGTGCGTCTCTGTGTGTAAATATATATGTGTCTCTGGGTGTGTACATGTATGTGTGT